GTAGAAGGGGTCAATGGGGGGAAAAGGGGGACATCTGTAATTCTTTCAACAATAAAGATAAATTTTAAAAATTAAATAAAATAAATAAATAAATATAAATATGAAGAGGCAGGTTAACAGGCAGTTTCAGGGGGACAGACTCTGTTCATTCCTACCGTTCCTTGTTGATAGAAGTGCGGAGCCAGCTCCAACAGCCAAGCGGATTCAATAGCAGTCACATCTCTCATATAATGTTTGGAGGTTTGTACAACTTCATTGTAGATAACCCTGAAACAAGAAACATGAGCTAATTTCCCATATCTTATGAGGAGAGTCAAGAATCACAACAATTAGTGCTGATGAGATTTTCCCCTTCACCTTTACTAGGTACCTGTCCTGTGTGCCAGGCGCTACACTAAACAAATGCACTGATGTTGCCCACTCATGACCTGAGTGCTGGATAGTGTTTCCATTTCACAGGTGAGACTCTAAGTCCTACATGATTTCCGGAACATCTCAGCCATCCGTGATTCTCCCTGGCACCTGAGCTGCCAACCTGAGCCCTTTATACACCCTCTGTCAAAGTCCTTCTCCTGAGACACTGGAATCTGTGTCTATCTCTCCATCAGAACTATGAATTCATCTGGGACCTGAATTCTCCACATAGCTGTGCTCAGTGCAGGGTTTAGTATCTAGTCCACTGGCAAAACTGAATGTTCACTGAATGGATGAGTGAATAGAGGATTATCCCCATTTGCTTAGGGAGATCTCTGACAGAGCAGAAATTCTATAAACCCTGTGTAACAAAGTCAACAAAGTGTACTGGGCGCCTGACCCAGGCACTGTGCCAGGCAATAGGGACCCAGAGGCGAACAAGACCTGGGCCTTTCCTTCCACGTAGTTACAAGGCTAAAAAGCAGGGGGCGCTTACCAGCGAGGTGGCTTCTCTGCATAAAGGACTGACACAGGGTGGATGTGTAGTTCATGATCGTCACGAATTGTCCTTGTAAAAGAGAAGAATTTTATCTGAAGTACATCTTAAATATCTATAGCAAGACTCTCCCAGAGACATGTTTAATGTTATAAAAAATGCATGCAGACTGTGCTTCACAGGAACAAAACTATTCTTTCCATCTTCTCTTGTGCCCTTTATGGGCCTGGCCCCCCCTGCCACCCCAGAAGTCAGGAATAAATCAGGCAAACAAGGGAAGAAAAGAAAAGCAACACGAGAACATTCAGAAAAAAAGTTTAGAAATAGATTGCTCTGCCAATGTTTATGTTTGTTATCTGTAGGTTCTCCTTCAAAGTAATTTCCTTGGAAACAGAAATAATATAAAGTATTACTTCTATTAAACAAAGCTAAATACTAAAGATAAAGACTATGGGGGAGATAATAATAAGGAAACAAGAAAGCTCAATACTGAAGTATCCATTTTGCTGAGATAATATTTCAAATTCCAACTCAGATTTGAATCAATGTAATTCGAAAACAATTTACAGAGCACAGAACTCTCAGCAGGATCAGCTCCCAAGAGAGCTTTCACAGCCTAGGCTGTCACTGCCTGAACATAACTGCAGAGTTTCTGTGGGTGCCGGGCGCTGTGTGTCAGGCAAGTACTTCAGGCACTGCAGTAACGCCAGCACCCCGGGGGCCTGGCTGTCCCATCAGGTAGTCCGAGCTGACCAACACTGAGCTTCGTCTCAAAGGGACTCGCTGACTGCGAAGCCTCTTATGTAACCCATATTTTTGTTGAGGACACTGGAGGATTTTTTAAATGCTAGTAGGAATTGTTAATGCTGTTGAGGGGAATGGGGCAATCGAAGGGGCAACAAAGTAACTGCTCACTGGAGAGGATCACAGGCCTCTCAGGGTTGCCTCCAACATGGACAACTCAGCATTGGGAAGGGGAGCTCCTGCGGCGGGCAACAGAATCCTGATGCTGACAGGCTAGACTACTTGGCCTGGAGTGACAAAGAGAACATAGTAAAGATAAGTGTAAAGTGCTATACTTAGGTTCAAACAGATATCAGATGGAGACCTGGCTGCCAGATAAGAAAAAAAAAGGTTCAGTGCAACTCTGGACTTGTTAGCAAAGCCCAGTGTCTGGGGCACCTGGGCTGACCTCAAGGTAACAGGACTGTAACATCTTCTGAGGGGAAAAAGCTAATGACAAAATAATATATGAAGGAAATCCAAAGGAGAGCTGGGGAGAAAGCCTTTTGACTGCTCTCTTTTTAAATAATAGATCATTATGATCACTGCACTTTAAACGGGCTACCGTGAAGTTACAAGACTGAAATGGGGCGAGAGAGAAGATAAGACTGAAAGGAACATTCAAAGAATTGGAATGATTTAGTGTGCAGAAAAGAAAGCTAAGCTACACATCAGCTTTTACTCTATTCTAATATACTAAAGGCTGTCAGGAGGACATCAACCATCAGTGATAGTCTTTGCCTAGAAAATGGCACCGGGAGAAAAGCTGTAGCCTGTACTGGGAGGCAGGTCCAGTACATAAAGAAACATTGGCCACAATGTATCAGGGTAGGTGTTGGCTTCAGTTCTGCAATTCTCTAAAAACGCATGAGCTACTCAATGACAAAATTAACTTCTCTAGGAAAGATCATCTTTAATGGGTCCTTCCAATCGGTTATTCTGCTATCAGAACGGAAATGTTACCATTCTAACATTCTGACTTGTAGACTGTCATCCTTTGACAATTTGTGGATGGGCTGAATACTTGAGAGTCATTTCCATAAAGTTAAGAGGCTGTGCTTAAAGCTATATAGCTAACGTCAACTCATCTTTGGATAAAGGCACGATATAAATAAGGGAAAATTCTTTAATTTCTCTCCTTTCCCTGCACATCAGCTTTCTATCTGGTTTGGGTCATTTTTAAGATTTCTCCTTTAATAAATGACTTCACAAAGTATCACGTTACCTATAAGCTCCAGTAGAATGGAACCTCGCTGCATTGGCAAAGAATCCTGAAACGATGCACCTCAGAACTGGATCTGGATCACCTACACAAGGCAGCCAACAGAATGACAGGTGAGACCCTAGCCTGCCATATACTCTGTGTACTTGGGCGTGTGCTGGGAAGCCCCACCCCAGGCTGCTTCGAGCCACCTTGCAACCTACAATGGCTGCTGAGGGAAACATGCTGGATTGTTCCTTTAACATGGGGCCCCATACCTTCCTGGGCCACAGATGCCCAGACCAAGGCTGGGCACCAGAACCTAAGAGAGCACTCCACTGGCTGGCCAGTGACCTCCTTTCTAGGAGAGTATCTTGTGGGAATGATGTTCCTTTCATAAGACACAAAATAAGACACTAACACTACACTGTTTCTGTGGTTATAAGCTACAGTGTGTAATTCTTCAAAATTTTCAAACATTCCATTTTAATGGGTGTCTAGATTGCTAGAGTAAACATCTTCCATGGATAAAGACTTCCCATTATTAGATGATTCCCACAGTATACATTACAAATTTTTGTGCAGACAGTGTCATTTCTATGGCTTATGACACTATATTTCATCAATTCTAAGACTCACTCTTTTCTTACACTTTAAACTCACTGAGAGCATTTTATAATTAGAATTAGCAGCAATTATTTTTCTTTCTTAGTGGTACATAAAATAATGGCATATCTTCTTCATAATGGTGTTTTAGATTCCATGAAATATAGTGTGTTGATAAATAAGTTCCCAAAAGGTGGTATAATTTACAAAATCATCAACAATGTACAAGAATGCCAGTTTCACTGCATTCTTACCAGCAGTGTTTTGGCAAAAAGGTACCTCTTCTTTTATTGCACAATTATTTGATTACACCTGTTTCTTTTTAGCACAGAATTGGTGAATCTCAAATTTGCATCTCTAACCGCAATCTGATCCAAGATTCAGTCTCTTGTTTCCATCTGCCCATGAGAAATTTCCATGTAGAACAAAAGGGGTGAAAATGGTTCTTGGAGAGCAAGTAGGAGGAAATCTTAAATACTACAGTAGTTGAGGCCCTCCAAAGTTCAACCATACCCTACAAAATCATGTTCCTTAGTATTTAATGTATCCCGTTAGGAAGAATGCAATGTAACTTTTCTCCTGGGTGAGGGGTTAATAATGAAAAATAGGTTAAGAAACACGGATGTACAAGACTGCCACCTTCTCCCTAAAGAGCTGCCCCTGTAAGCTTCCTGTGTAGCAATGACTCCAGCTGTGCGCAACCACCCAGGCTCCAACTCTTCCCTGTCCTGGGAGCTTATTCACCCACTAATACTCTGAGCATCTAACACACTCCCCACTCCACCACCTGTCTCCAGTCCTCCCTGCCTGGCGTGCCCTTTGCCAAGAGTTTCTAATTCAACCAGTTCACTCAACTGGACTTCCACCACCAGAGGCCTGTTGTGAGGCCTCCCAGGCCAGCCCTCGCTGGGCGCCTTCTTCCCGGTGCTCCTCCCACATCTGCCACTGTGGTCGGCCACGATCCCTGAGGCTTCACTCCTGTAACTTCTCAGAGCTGGGAGTCTTACACTGCAGCGGTTTGTCTGTCTGTGTGAATCTCTCCCTTCACTGCACTGTTCCAGAGAATAAGACACAAGTCTTCACTGTCCTGTAGTCACGTGTTTCAGTGTAAAGGCAAAATAAGGCTCTGAGCGCAAACTGCCTGGGTTCAAGTTCTGATCCCACCGCGCACTCATTGTGTGACCTTGCAAGTTACTTGTTGCCTCTTGGCTTCATTTTCTCACCTACAAAATGGAGATAGCTGCGTATTTACTGGATTGTTGTGAGCACTAAAGGAATTAACATGTGAAAACACTCCAAACGCTGCCTGGCCTACTACAGGCAAGTACTAGGGGTGCTGAGTATGCCAGCCAGAGTGCCTGGCACCCTGTAGGTATTCAAAAGACAGCTGCTGAATGAAGGAGTAAATGTCTCAAAAGTTGTAGGTGCTGAGCCACACAGACCTTCCTCTGCTATAAGCAACTGTGTTGTCCTGAACTTCACTTCTCCCTAGGACTAGACAACTCCTCTGTACAATAAGGGTAATATTACCTACACCTCACAGAGGGAGAGACTGATAAAATAACTGTAGAACCCGTCACAGTGTAACCTAGTGTGTCCTTAGTTAATGGTAGTCAGTCACTGCCAGAGGCCAGAGACTGTGCCTTACACAGCACTTCCGTTTTACCCTGGTGACAGCCCAGGTTAAACATACAGCACTCGCTTTAATAATACCTGTATTTGAAAGTAAAATGTGACTTATACATCAGAGTCATAAATACTGTCCACTTAAAAGTAATTTTTCTTACAAAGCCTCCATGGGAAAATGAACTATATAATATGCAATGATCTGTAGCTTAATGCTTCCTAAGGGTTGTCAGGGCTTATGAGAATGTTTTAGGGAGAATAGCCCTCGGATATAAAATGAACCTCCTCAGAAAAATGTGCTGCTTTACACACAGCTTTCCATCGACACAGGCAGAGTGCCCTGTGTGGCTCCCTCACACCCCAGTGCGAGAACTCCAACAAGGCAGCACAGCAGTAGAGACGGGCGTCACCGAGGGGGCAGCTGATTCTTACCTTCACTAGATTTCTTGGGCACTTGAAACTTGGCAAGAAGCTTTTTCAACTGTTCTCTTACTGTCGCAGCTCTGACGAGACCCTTGTAGTTCAGGAAATGTTCCTGACACCACTGAGAGCTCTTGTTGTGCTGCAGAATAATCCAGATGGAGGGAGAGTAAGAAGACCACAGACAGGTTCTTGACCACAGCTAGGCTGTGGAGATCATCATTTCCTCCTCCTGCATTTGCCTACTCAGTGGGACAAGATCTTCAGAGGGCAACTGGCTCCTTTTTGCACCAGATGTTGAGAGATACTGGCGTGCTCACCATGTGACTGCTCTTTGCTCTCTCTCTGTCTAAAGGGCGAACAAGAGCTTAATGACCAGCAGAGTTGTCAATCTTAATGACAACATTAAATACCTTCCTAGGTGAGTGGCAAACCACCAAACAGAATCACTTCCCTGCAGCTCTTTGTAAATCAACTCTCCTTCCTTGGCAGGGCTTGAGTTTATCACTGTATTTGACTACAGGCAAGCAATAGGGCACTTGCCAATTCAGAAATAATTTCCAAATTACTACTATTTATCCCCAAAGTATAATTTTTCTATCAACAGAACTCAATTTTGTTCTGCATTCTTAAGCATGATCATTATGCCTTAGATTAATTATTGCTGTGGAAATGTACCTCAGAAATGATAGTCCAAGCCAGGGAGGAAAGCGTTTTAAATAAGAAAATGAAAACACAGAGGGCTTCCCAGCAGGCAACTACAGAATAATGCAATGAAGACCTGAACCTACATTCTACTGGCAGGGGAGCCTTAGGTTGGGGATGATATACTATGCAAATACAAACGAATTTCAACTGATTTAATCCATAATTAGTAATCTTAGTAAGAAATCAGGTTTTTCTAAAAAACTGTTCATTAACTAAATAATCTCCCTTCAGATCTCTGGTAAAACAAATAGTACTTCTCCCCTGCTAAAAAGAAGTATTTAAAAAATGAATACAAGATAATGAAAATCTGAAATATCTCATTCCCCTCTTACATCCATCCTTTCCTTTATATGAGAGGTTTCTGTTTTCATTGTCTTCATCATCTTTAGATCTCTCTTTTTAGCAACTTTTAGTGATAACTTTAATTTAGTGATAACTTTAATTTAGTGATAGCTATATTATTTGCTCTTAGTTCTATAGAATTTTGAGAACAATAAAGATGAACATCACCTATGGCTAAATATAGGTAGGGTACATGAATATACATGGATTTTCGCATAAACGCCTTCTTGCAGCCTGTCTGCTGTGGAGGAGTGGTGGCTGTGCAGTCTCACACTCACAAGTTACTCCTAGCCTCATTTAAGTGCAGGAAATGTACCAGAACTTCCTATTCACATGTGGGACAGTGCTGTCCAGAAACACTGGGTGGGTGAGAGAGTGAGGGGAGAGGGCCGAGGAGGGAGGGCCAAGGAGGGCCCAGAGTCAACAGGTGTGTAGGGGGGCCTTCCGAGCAGCGGCTGTGCTTACTTTGAGAAATGCTTCATACACGTTGAGCATAGTGAGGTGATCACCTTCCTCCACAGCAAATTTTCGGTGCACTCGCATCTGGAAAGAAAAAAACATTTAGAAGTTGATTCCTGTGAACCTCTCGTACTGGGAGGTAACATTATACAAATGGCTCACGGCTTACAGAGCCAGAAAGACCTGGTTTGCACAATTCTAGCCCCGCCATTTCCTGAAAGACCTCAGACTGGTTCCTTAACCCTTCTCGGCCTCAACTTCCTTATCTGTAAAACCAGAATATTAAGCCTACCTACCGAGACTGCTGTGAGGTTAAGATAATTCGCTATAAAGTACCTGGCATAGTTATCAGATAAAGTTAGTGTTCTTGTGTCTCTCCTCCTCTATCCAGTAGTATCATCTCTCTCAGAGCTCCTCCCAGCCCCCAAAAGAATGTAAGCTCCAGGAGGGCAGGGGGCACGCTGTCTGCGCATGGGAGACACTCTCTGTTCCTAGGCTACCACTCAGACTCCATCCTAAACGCTTCCTTCTGTAACATTCTGGGCAATGTCATCTGCCCCCATGGACTCAAGGAGCAGCACATACAACAATATAAATATGAGCACACTCATATACTTATTCACTTCAGAATTCTCTCCTTGTGTCAAATGCCACAGAACTAATCTTCATTCTTCCTTCCACTCACTCAATAACAGATATTTACTGAGGACCTACTATAGGCTAGGTACTGCTCTCTGAATCTGAGATATGTGAATAAAACAGTGTTGGAAAAATACAATAAACAAGATAAATAAGCAAAATATTTAGTATATTAGGTGGTAAGTGTTAAAGGAAAAAAATAAAGCAGGGAATGGGGACAGAAAAGGGAGGAGGTTATATGTTGCAATTTTAGACATACTGGTCAGAACTTCAGTTTTCCCATCTTGAAAATGAGTTTGCCTGTTCTAAGACAGGATTGTTAAAAAGGCTAATAGAGAAGCAAACAAACAGAAAACAGACATCACCACCTGGGAACGGAGGCAAGAAAACTCCGTAATCCACGGTTATATGATTGTCGAGAAAGATGACAGGAATCCGTAAGAAAGGTTCTATCCTCCCAACCACACACCCAAAGTCAACCTCTCTGTACACAAAGCTGTCACCTCCCACAGCAGCCGACTCTGAACTCATCACTGACCTGCCTCCATCAGTACGCCTCACCTCCGCGGAGCTCTCTACCATCATAACTTTCGTTCACTGTCTTTCCAACATTCACTCTTTCAGTTGTCACTGGCACCTGGGCCTCAGGCAGGGCCTTGGCATCTCCTTGGTTTGACTCCAACATGACCAGAATCAGCCTGCTGTGCTAAGGCACTGACTCCTTACTTCACTATGTGCCCACTCAGTTGCTCCCAGAGCAAACTAAAGGACAATTTCCCTTACGGGAAAGTCAGAAGGACAATGGTTAATACTTGGGGATCTGGATTGTGAAAGGTAGCTCCACCCTGGCTGTGCAACCATGAATAAGTCACGTAACCTTTCTTGCTTCCATCTCAAAAAATGATTGTAACAGTATCTCGACCTCGTGGTTTGTGGTGAAGGTAAAATTAAATGATGCACAGAAAATGTCTGGCACACAGCACAAACTCAAATGTAAGCTGGTATTTGCACAGCCCCGCTGTCAGCAGTTCCTAGTTGTTTTAACAAGGAAAGCCCAAAGTGCAACACTGGTAGGAACAGCTTAGAGAGAAGGCTGGACTTACTGCCTGAGACTTCTGGTTGGAGGGGACCACAAAGATATTCTGGATCTGCATCATGGCTGCAATGCTGAGAATTTCCTGAGAACAGCCAAAATTTCCTATAAAACAAAAAAAAGCACGTTTGAATTCAAACATGTAATGTGTCAATGAGAAGTGAAAGACATTTTCCAATGTGTTCCTTGTACCATACTGCAAACTAAGATGATATATCCGTATATAGCTTGATTTTTAAAATTTATAATACATAAACTCTTCACCCTGCCAAACGGAACGTCCTGTACCTGGCTCAGATGACTGGAGGCCTGGAAGGACTCCGAGAAAGGAGCTGCTCGTCCACTCTGCAGCTGTAACACAGAGAGTGTTACACTCACTGTGAGCCTCAGGGAGCCAGATTGACCCCACGACTGAGGGCAGGGCAGCTCCACACTTGTTCCTGACTCTCTTATGTAGACACCAAGAATCCTGGCAGAAAGCCTGAGAGGGAAATGGGGCAGGAAATATGTGAGCTGTGGCCCTTCTGCTGTTTCTCTGCTCCTGGACCCTTCTCTGAGGTGGCCTGCCTGTAAGTAGGGCTCTAGCACCTAGCAAACTAGACCAGGGAAGCACTCTGTGGGATGCAGCTGCTGCTGCTACACCTGGGACCAGAGTCTGTAACGATCAGCCCTCCAGGACACTAGAGAGCAAGAGCAAACTGCACTGCCAGCCCTACTGCCCCACAGCTTCCTGCCTCATGAATGACATACTATCCAACTCCAAACTTAGAATCCTGGTGCTCAATGTAAGCCTAAGGTCATTTGGTTTTTCCAAAACACAATTATAGCTAACTTTCATCATGCTTAGTTTGACAGTTTTGTAGATTGCCAGTTAATGTAAAAGTTAGATAAAACCAAGAAAAAAATTATTATTTACTTTCCTGGCGTGAGAAAACTATACTCTCTAGATGATTTTGATCTCTAAGTATGAGAAGATCTCCAGGTCATACACGTTTACCCCTTAACCCATATCCTCACAGAAATCTGAAGGTGTCAGAAAAGTTGGGACCCTTGTACATTGGTGGTGGGAATATGAAATGGTGTAGCCACAGTGGGAAACGGTAGGATAATTCCTCAAAAAATTAAACATAGAATTATTAGATAATCCAGCAATTCCACTCTAAGTATATCCCTAAAAGAAGTGAAAGCAGGGGCTTGAGCAGATACTCCCACACCCATGTTCACTGCAGCATTACTCACAGTAGCCAAGAGGTGGAAGCTCCCTAAGTGCCCATCAACAGAGGAGTGGATGAACAAAGTGTGATCTATACATACACGGTATTATTCAGCCTTAAAAAGGAGGGACATTTTGACATGTGCTACGATATGGATGAACCTTGAAGACATTATACCACGTGAAACAAGTCAGCCAGAAAAGAAGGAATACTGTATGATTCTACTTACAGGAGATTTCTAAGAGGCAAATCTAGAGACAAGAAGTAGACTGGTGGTTGTGGGGCCGGGGAGGCGGAGAGAATGGGGGGGTTAGTGTGTGGCGGGCACAGGTTTCCCTTTGGAAAGATGAAAGGTTCGGGAGACAAACAGTGGGGATGGTTCAACAACAGTGTGCACATACTTAATGCCCCACAGAACTGTACACTTAAAAAATGCTTAAAACGGTAAATTTTGTTATGTATTTTTTACAATAACTTCCCTGTTTAAAAAAAAATCTAAGGTGTTAGTGCTAGGCCATGAGAAACAAACAGACGTGCTTACTGAATTAGTAATGACTGACAGTGAATTACAAGTTAGCAACATGCCCCAAACCTGGGAGCGTTAGGCAATAGCTCCTTCGCCACCCCAGGGTGCAAAGAATTCACGGAAATAACTCCTCTGAAAGTCAAAATAAAATCAATGAGAACTGTTGGTCTCCACCCACCTGATTCAAGCAGCATTTTTGCAAACATGGGATTCAAAGGAAACTCCGCTATTCTCATGCCAAGTGGTTCAGTTAGGCGACAGTCTTTGTCCAGACCTGCCACGAGAACAACAATCAGAAGGCACGTACCATTGTGTTGAAAGATGTACAGTTGTTGAGAGACTAAAAGATGATATATGCTGAAAAAAAGGTATCCAAAGGATGAATCATGCACTACCACATTCCATCTGACAACCGGAGCACCGTTACATTATAAGAAGAAAAAGCCTGCCTTGAGCTCTTGAATATTTAATTTTAAAAACTGATACTTCTCATGGCTTCTATTCAGGACTTCATTATAAAGAAATGGCCCTGCAGCCTCCTCTGGCTCCCACTCTCTCCTTGCCCACAGCAGTGTCACTCTGGGCTCACTATTCCCCACAGATTGCTCTTTCCAAGGGCCCAACAACTACACAGTGTGAAATACAAAGGGCGTTTCCAGAGGGTCTGCAGCAGCCTCTGACTCTCTAGACCACAGTCCTTGGAAACACTCTTGCCCAGCTTCCAAGACCCCTACTCTCCTGCTTCTCCGCCATCTCTCCTGTGGCTCCCTCTTTGTCACCTCTGGATCTTCTTCCATGTCCCATGGTAAATGTCCCTTCCGTTACTGTGTGAACAATTACAAGGCTGTGACTATGAATCTAAACACTTGCCCAGATCTCTCTTTGGTGCCGACACCAGAGCTATTTATCCAACTGCCTCCTGGGCAGTTTACTGAGCCAGGTGGACTCCTTCAACCCTCCCCCCCACCTCTTTACCACTGGCCAATGCCCAGAAGCTGAATTCCCACAATGTAGACTATTGTTTTACTATTGCTGAGACTATTCCCAAGATGTAGCATTCAAACAAATGCTTCTTCAAAGCTGGTAATTTGGCTTGAAACTAAGTTAATTTGTGTATTCCCCTCTGCTTTTCCAGCTAATTCAGGGCAGTGAAGAAACAAAATATTTTAAGTGTCATTCTGATTGAAGGAAAATCAGTCCAAATGAAGCATTTCCATGCAATCAATGTTCTCCCATCCTCAATACAGATTATCCCAGGAAACCTTGCTTTCGAGTTCTTCTCACAAGTTTGGGAACAGGAGATGGAAGCCCAGCCTAGCACACACACACTCTGGGCTGACTTGATGCAGACCCACCTAAAGGCCTTTTAAATCACTGACGACATTTTAGATCAGTAACCAGCTATTCCTTCACAGGGACGGATCATAAATATAGTGAATGAAGATGGACTCCTACTTCACCCCATACACAACACTAACTCAAAATGGATCATACATGTAAGATCCTACTACATGTAAGAGCTCAAACTATACAAACTCTTTAAAGAAAACCTAGGAAAAAAATCTTCATGCCTGTGGGTTAGGCAATGGTTTCTTAGCTATGACACCACAGTGACAAGAGAAAAAATAAACTGAATTACTTAAAACTTTTGTACTGCAAATGATACCATCAAAAAAGTGAAGAGCCAACCCATAGAATGGGAGAAATATTTACAAATCATAGGCCTGGGAAGAAACGTGTACCCACAATATATAAAGAACTCATTCAACTCTATAATAAAAAGACAATACCCCAAAATTAAAAGTGAGCAAAATATTTAAATAGGCATTTCTCCAAAGAAGATATATAAGTAGCCAATAAGAATATGAAAAGGTGCCCAACATCATTAATCTTTAGGGAAATGCAAATCAGAACCACAGGGTACCACTTCCTATGCACTGGGGTGACTATAATACAAGACTTCTTGTAATTTTAACCCGTCCTTATTTCCACTGAGCTTAAGTATCCTTAAAAGGATTATTTATGTGGGGAGAACCAATCCCATTCCTGAAAAATACTAAGAATCCTAAAGTGGATACAACCTAACTAGTATCACATATTAGTAAACAGATCGGAAAGCACATAATAAGAGGCAGGCATACCTCCCAGGGCATAGAGTAACTCCAAGGCTTGAACCATCGACTGTGCTGGAGGGGGCTGTAAGAAATATAAAAATCCTCCTAAATTAATTTCTTCGGGTGACAGACCTAAAAATGTGACTATTTCCTGCTCAAATCCCTTCCTGCTCCACATGCCCCATACTTCACCTGAACACACGCCTACTGCACTGGCATTTCCCTACGGCTGCATGTGACTTGGGATCCCATGCACCTGTTTTAACACAGCTGGAAGGACCGAGTTAGCATAGCTCTAGCTCTCTTCTCACTGTCTGGTTTTCTGTTTTCATTGTTTCTTGTACCACAGGAACTTCAGTAATTACTTGGCATAGCTGCATAGCATTTCAACAAGGTCACACATGGTCTATAAAATAAGCGGAGTTTTCTTACTACTGGGCAATTGAGTTGTTTTCCACTCTCTGCTACTGTAATTAGCACTGCAAAATATACAAAATTATATGTACCTTGTGATTTCAATTGTGAAGAACACCATTTCAGGGGAAAATAACCAGAAGGGACTACATGAAGATGAATTTGTATGTATTTTCCTCATTTCTCAGTTGTCCAAAGTTTATGGTTTTCATTATTTATATTTTTTAATCTAATATAAATGATGCTATAAACATTTATACATGGACTGTTTTTGGCTTCTGAATTATTTTTTCAGGAGAAATTTCCCTGAGAACAAATGCAGGCATTTCTATGGCTCATAAAACAATGTCAGGAAGGCCTCCATGAGGACTGAAACAGGATGAAACACTTTCCCAAATGGGTCAGCTTTGGTTTTCATCATTTCTCCTTATGTTTGATCATTTAATTAGGTGAAAGTGGTACTTTACAGTTATTTTAATTTGCACTTCTCTCTTTTAGAAAAGCCAAACATGTCCAACATTAGTTTACTGTTTGTGCTGTTTCCTTTCCTTTACCTTTCTCTTCAGTGGATATTAGATTTATTCTGAACAGTGTGTGAAAACTCGGTAGCTACTGAGATGTTGACCCACCACCACTGCCATTGTATGTTTTCCCTTGATCTTAGATGCGGCGTTCTTGATAAGCTTTTCATTTGCATTTACTGTTCATCTTTTCTTTACAATTTCTTGTACTATACACCAATAAACAAAGGCTATATTTTCTCCATACTTACAGTAAACCCACAATTGTTTTCTTCAGGAGGGAGAGTGCTATTTTTCTATTTCTTCATTTGCCTAGTTTATCATGATATGTGTGACATTAGGGACTTCATTATCCAAAATCCAGACCTGCCACACTACTTACCAATACAGCTGGGATAGAACAACAAGTGAAAATGCAAGTCTTCAAATCATAAGAATTCAAGAAGTAAATATGAGCGCATATTTATTAACTAACTGACCTAGATATGAGCAAGTGTTTCATAAGCTCAAGCGTAACAGAAGCCAGAGAGGCAAAGACAGAAAGACTTTACTGTGGAAATGTTTAGAATGTCTGCACATTTAAAAAAATAATAAACTTGAAAACAGTAAAATACAAATAACTAGAAAAACTATTTGCAAGAAATGCTGCAAAGATTAATGTCTTTCCTAGTTAAAGGACACTTGAAAATCACTAATAAACACTAATTCTAACAGATAAATGGCTTCCCAACGCAAAAGTACAACATGGACAATAAACTTTATTTTAAAACTATATTAAGAGAATCAAAATATAAGGTACAGATGATATTTTTCCTACCTTCCTTTCTCCCTCCCTCCCACCATCAATCAAATTAGCGAACCTCTACAAGAAAGTACTATGATGTGATGGAGCACAATGAGTAGGACATTCCTGCGCTGCAGGAGTTTACACCTGTAAAGCAATGTGGCCATGTGTCAAGAACCTACAAGACGACTATGGCCCTCTGACCCGGTAATTTCACACCTGGAAGCCTGCCTTGGGAAACAAGCAGAAACTCAATCAGCCACAAGACCCTTCCCCACAGCTCCACCCAAGCCCTCTTGGCTCCCCCAACTGCAATATTCTCTCATGCAGGCCTACAAACATGCTCATCATCCTGGATCTCTCCACCCCTCCTGAGCTGATGAAATCCCACAAGTTTCACATCTCACCATAGGCACGACCAATGGGGCTGGGGGCCCTGCCTTGTCTCTCCCAGCACTGGGCACACTCACTGTAATTACTCACTACTTGTCTCTCTTCCCCAGCAGACAAGAACAGGAATTCTGTCTGTTGGCCTGGCTATATTTCCCTAAACCCTGCACACAGCCTGGTGCAAAGCAGGTACACAACATAGGAGTTAAGTGGGGGAAAAAAATAAGAAAGGAAGGAAGAGAGGGAGGGAAGAAGGGAGGAAGGTGGGTGGTATGCACTATAACAATGTTCTGACATTGCTCTATGAGCACTGGAGCCTCTCTACGGCTGCAGACAGAAGGCAAGACTCACCGACATAAAGTGGAATCTGAGGACATTGTCAATTCCCAGTGCTTTCAGCTGCAGGATGACAGGTGCCAAGTTGCTCCGCTGCATCTCAGGAACGGTGGACAGAGGCAGCTTGTCAAAGGCTTCCTCTGAGGATAGGAAATCAGAACTGTTTGGGATCAAATGTGACAATCAAATGCAATCATTATGACAAACAGACAGTTTTCTTCTCTAACAAGAGGCTCTACGATTCTAGGATCAGATGTGTATATTACGATATAAAGTTATTCTATGTTTAAGAAAGACCATTCTACTTAAAAAATACTTTAGCAATTTAGATCTTTATAAACAATATATCTTTATGAAAGTTTGTGTTTTTATTGTAGGATTTTTTTTAATGTGTTTTTCATCAGCAAAATATTAAATCAAAGCAACAAGTATCTGCTGAATTGCTACCGGGGTCCAGTTGCCTTTACCTCTGCTCGGGAGAGAGTAAACCAACGGCAAGAGCAACACAGACGAGCAAAGAAGAGTTTCAAAACAGTAACCAGGATAGAACAAATGACCAAATCTCATAAAGAGCAAAAACTGTCCAAATCTAACTTTTAAAATCAGTAAGCCAAGCACATGCCACACTCATAACCCAATGGCTGTCCCAAATAGCTTCATGAATGCCTACATGCCCTATCAGGAACAAAAGGCGACTTCTCACAGGAAAAAGCACAAGGCATAGAGGTGCCAAGATGGGAGGGCAGGGGAACAGGGAGGGAGGGAAAGAGACTTTGGGAGGCATTCTTATAAAAGCTAGACAGAAAGGGTGGGGGGAAGGAGGGAGAGAGATTAAAGCCATTTTGTAGATATGCAGAAAGTTTATGGATATAAAGAGAATGTTCCACCCATGAAACCCTCCCACATTAGTCAGCATTCTAACTGTGCACACCCTGCTTCACACGAGACGGCCCAGCCTCCATTTAGACCATTAAGCTGCAGTTAATTAGAGAAAAGCAACCAAAACAGCACTATCACTGAAGAACTTCGAAAAGGTCTTCTCTGAGAAAACAGAAAACCAATACTCTGTGGAGTGGCCGATACAAACTGCCAAATGCGTGGGCCTAACTGGAAGGTTCTGGATAACAGGCAACAGCAGGAAATTCCAAATGAGATACTGCGTTTGCATTTCGAGCATTTTGGGAATAGTTTTTCGGGAGGATAACCACATTTCCAAGTACACAGATGACCAAGGGAGAAGCAAAGCTATCAGAGAAGAGGACAGCCCCACTGAGAAGACGCTAGGAGGAAGGAAGTGCTTCCTAAGAGTTCAGCCACACTTAATGAAGACCCACTGAGGACTTGAGTGAATGAAGCACTGGGCCAGGAGCTGTTGGAACCACAGGCCAATGGCTTTGAGAAGCTTCAGTGATATGAAAGGGCCTGGGACAAGACCAGGAACAGTGACCTCTGAGACCAGGTCCCAATGAATGGTCCTCCCAAAAGGAAAGGGAGGCTTAGGGAAGAAAGAAGCATAGACACTGGAAGAAGACACCTTGCTTTATTAGGGAGGTGCCATCTGAGAGAGGATTTGAAAGATACAGAGAATGTGTTGGACAGAGGAAACAGCTCAAGGAAAGGTATCACAGGAATGAGAGGTGGGTGTGGGAAAACAGAAGGTATGTCCAGGAAGACTGCAGTTCAGCTGTGATGCAGCCTAGGGGAGGTGTAGGTGGACTGCAGAAGATAAGCTGAGAAAAAGCCGTGGAAGGTTCTGAGAAACTCTTAAGGGTTTGAGCAGGGAGCACCATGCTCAAAGCTGTGCTCTCTGAAAGTTCATCCAGAAATAGGTTAGCCAAGAAAGCCTAAAGGCTGGATTGAATGCACCTCATTACTGTTGATGGGCCCTCCCCAACTCCACCTCCACTAAGACTGCTCATGCTAAGGAAACCAAACATACCTGCCTATCTTTAGTCTGCACTCTATTTGATTTCTTCGGAACATGAGATGATGCTAGCCATTTCCTCTTTAAAAATAGCTTAAGTTCCTCAAAAAGTTAAGACAGAGACTACATGACCCCACAATTCCACTCCCAAAAGAACTAAAAATATGTACTCAAACAAGTGCATGTACACACATGTTCATAGGAGCAATTATTCACAATAGCCAAAAGGTGGAAACAACCATCAACTGCTGAATGTATAAATGAAATGGTGGTGTAAATGTGGTGTCAGCCATAAAAAAGAATAAAGTACTGATACAACACAGATGAGCCTGGAAAACATTATGCTAAATGAAAAAAGCTAGACACGAAAGGTCACATATTGTATGATCCCATTTATATGAAATAGCCAACAGATAAATCCACTGAGACAGAACAAAGATTGGTAGTTGTCAGGGCTGGGGGCAGGAAAGAATGGAGAGAAACAACTTAATGAGTAAGAGCTTTTACTTTTAAGAGATGGAAATGTTTTGAAACTAGACAGAGGTGGTGGTTGCACCCTGTGAACGTAATAAATGCCACTGAACTGTTTAATTTAAAACAGTTAATTTTACATTATGTAAATATCACCTAAAAAAAATTTTTAAGTAGCTTGAAACTTTCTCCGCCCCCCCTGAACTTCAAGATGCCTTTTACTGCCTCTTTCCACTCTCAACATTCCTTCTTAGTGCCTTCAGTGGTGGCAGGCCCTACACCTCCCACCTCAGGTTCTGCCTTTCCCTCCCTCCCCTGAATACTCCTTACCCCCTTCCTCCCCACCACATACTTGTGCATTCCATGCCCTCTCCCCCGTGTACTGAAATCTAATCTCCACTGCTATCCCTTTATCTGGATAACTACTGGGCTGCCAATAAGATCAGGCTCAAATACTCAATTGCAAAATCCTCCCCAACAGGATAACTCCCTGCTCTCTGCTTTCAAGGCTCATTCCTTTATGGCAACCCTATCACACCACAATATGTCAATCTACTTGTAGGTCTGCCTCCACCACCAAGTTGTCAGTGATCACATGTGGCCAAAGACCATGTCTCACCCAGCCCTAGATCTCCAAACCCTGGCACCGTGCCTGGCTCTGTAAACATTTGCTAAAAGAAACATTGATGTCAAGGACTGAACAAGGGCAATAATAACCAGAAAAGAGAGAAAATTGATAAAAACCCTGGATCTGGTGACTGCAGATGGATACTGGACAGAGGAGAGAAATAAAAATGATGTGAAAATCAAGTCTGGATACGTGAGAGAAATCTTAGTATAATCCCTCACACAAGAGAAGTTCAGAGAGAGAAAGAACAGCTCTGGGACATCATTATCTGTAGGTAAGGCTGTCTTCGAGCTGAAGAGAAGGCTCCTTCAGGGCCAGAAGAGTCTTGATGATATTTATTTTGCTCCTTTAGAGCCTACTATAGTGCACAGCACAGAGCAGGAGCTGACCATTTGCTTTCTATCAGATAGATCTTGCCATTTTAGCTCTGCAAAGATGCTCTGACCAGAGGTAAAGATGGGACCCAATGAGGGGCCCCACAGGATTCAGGGATCCCAGAACAAGAAAACAGCACAACAGGCCAATAGGGAGCAGTAGCAAAGAAGTGCTACATTTAGAATAAGGAAGGTGGTGGGGGCCAGGTTACTGAGGGATGTGAGGGAAGGCTGGATTTTATGTTAAGTCACGCTCACTGAGGGTAAATATAATACTCTCCAATGCCCAGGCTGACTGAAGAAATCTAAAACCCTTAAAGAAAGCCACACTAACCTGTATAAAGGCGATAACATTTTCCCGAGCGGCTGCGGCCACCACGTCCTGCTCGCTGGTTGGCTGATGCCTGGGACACTGGGACCACCACCAAGCATTCAATAGCTGTCCTGGGATTGTAGGCTCGGATTTTCATGAAACCACAGTCGATCACATATACAATCCCGCTGATTGTAATGGAGGTTTCTGCTACATTGGTGGCCACTATCACCTAAATTCCCCACAGAACAAAGAGTAGGAATAAAAGTTATTTGGTTCTTTCCACTTTTAATAAACTAGTATTCAGTATGGTATACTGCAAAGAGCATGAGTTTTAGGGTTGGGGTGCCCTGGGTTTGAATTCTCCCAGAGCATGTGATTTTGGACAAGTTAGTTAGCCTCCTGAGCATGATTATTCATCAACATAATCTTCACCTCATCCCAGGGTTGGGGAAGGGATTAAATATGAAACATGCATAAAGTGATTAGAGCCTGCTACTTGGCCCAGAGTAAATAGTCAACAAATGTTAGTTTTTGCCTTTTGCACAACTAAGGTAAATCATCCCCCTGTGCATGTATACCCATTTTTCCACCCCCATTCTAGCTGTTTTCTGAGTGTTTGTGCTTTGCCAGGCACTGTGCACGGTGCTGGGGATGTATGATGAACAAGAAAGAGAAGACCCCTGCGCCCCGAGTCTAGTGTGAGTGTCTGGGTGAAGGGGTAATGGACATAAAAAGGTAGATAATTGCAGAGAGTGACAGGCACTATTAAGAAAATACAACAGAGTAAGGATATAATATTACGTAGTATTTAAGGTGTTGATTATATATTATAAGATGCGGTGTGCTACTTTAGATTGGATGGCCAGGGAAAGCCTCTCTAAGCAATGATTCTGAGCTGAGACCTGAGCAACAAGCAGCAGCCAGCCCTATGGAGATCCAGGCAGAAGAAAGAGTTGAAAGAAAGGAGAAACAGCCAGTGCAGCCAGAGCCTGGAGTAAGTACAAGATGAGGCCGGAGGGAGGCAGGGACAGATCAGGCACAGCCTCTGGGCCACCGGGAGCTGTTAGGCATTTTATTCAAAGAGCACGGGAGCTGCCCCTGGAGGATCTGAAGCAGCAGGGGACATGTATAGATGGCACTTAGAACTTTTTTAAGGTACTTTTACATCTATCATTTCATAAAAATCTTCCTACCATTTTTATATAGTAGACATGTAAGGTTTTATGCCATAAAATCATCTACCTAAAAGTCATTATTATTTATGGTTTACAGCTGCAAAAACCTGGCCTTGAGGTCGAGTAATTCATCCCAGAGCACAGAGTAACTCAGGCAAGGAGCCAAGGCCTCCTGACTGGTTGGCCATAGCTCCCGTTTTACTGGGCAGACTCGAGTTGCTCCATCCCAGTGGCCAGCAGGCTGAGCACCCTCTTCCAAATGGTCTGAACTGGGAGTGGAATGTATTCTCTGCTAATAAATAGCTACTACAAGCCAACTTCAGGCCGGTTCAGGGTCTTCTCACCCAATGGAAGGGAAAGCAGAGTAGGCCAAGGGGGACGGTGAGCAGGACACAGACTGGCGACCTGCTGGCTCCTTCAAACCAATGCCTCCCACCACACCCTGCCCCACCCCAATTTCAATGCTTAATATTTTTAAGCCACACCTTGAACTAATTAACTTAAACCTGGCTCTACAGGCAAAATGATGCTTCAAACAAATGGCTCAGGAACCACTTGTAGTAATAGATCTATTGTTCCCGACTGATCACAATTCACCAACACGGACCTGCAAGCCAAGGCAGTACTATTACAGAGAAATATCAGGCAGACAGAAACGAGATAAGGAGGCACCAGCTCTGATAATTAATGTCAGAGTGCCCATTTGGTGGGGCAAGTTCAGAAGTCCTTGCAACACACTATTGTGTGCTTTTTGATCTACTGCACAGAAACATGGACCTAAAATTCTTAAAGGAACCTGCCTGTATAGCAAGTTTCACTTCAATCTAAAATATATATATCTTTTCCATGCACAGCAAAGGGGCCCCCAAATGATTATAGATGTCTGCAAACACCCTTGGTCATCGGGTTAGTCTCACCTTTCGGACACTGCGTGACACCCTTTCAAACACTTTCATTTGCTCAAAGGAAGGCAGTCCTGCATACATGGGGAGAACCCGGAGGTGTCTCTTCATCCCAGTCCGACCTAGTGCCCGAGCCTGCTCAATCAGCATGGACACGACAGTTTCTACCTCTTCCTAAAAACATCAAACCAAGAACCAAAGAAACCAAAATAAATGTGAAGTTGAAGCACGTCACTTTGTCATATGGAAGACTATGGAAGTGGGGATCAGGATTTTAACTGTGGTCAGATTCATGTCTTCCAGGGTGATCACATTCCACTCTGGGTGGTATTTAAGCAAATGCTACCCAACAATGGTGCTTGTGGGGTGAAAATCTGCAACTGTCAGATTAATTACAGAAATCTGTACTATCTCCAGTAAATAGAAGAGCTCCTAATAAACAAAAGCAATGATTATTTAACTCAAATTTTAGGTACTGTGACAAACAAAGCAATGCAAACATATGAACAAGTTGTGGCAGATAAAATCACTATACTCATTTCCAAGAAATGATGACTGAACTGTGGAAAATGCTCAACAGTGGAAAAGATTCTAGCTGGAGGATAGTTCTGAACAGTTACAACCCTGAGTGAGCACTTGGGTTTGTTCAGCCGTCTTTCTAGTGATGTGCCCACTTAGCACCACCAGAAGCTGCAAAGGTGTCACTGGGAAAGAAGCCTGCAGCAGCAACATGCATGCGCAAAATGCGCCTGATACAATATTCAAGTAAACAGCTTATTGAATGAAGTATGTAATATACTTTGGAATCAGCTAATAAATTTCAAAAACATTTGGCCCTCTGTAGACAGGACAGGAGCCAACAACTCTCTGACTATGTAGTTAGTAAATGAATGACATCAAACCAATTTTTTTTTGTAATTACATAACCACAAAATACAATAAAACATGAAATAAACGGCTGAGCAAAGTAACAGGCCTCTGTATTAATTTTGGTGCTGCCTTAACATGTCTGTTCATTACAGAAAAAAGGTCCAATGGAATTACCTGGCCAGTAAGAAACGCTAGTATGTCTCCATCTCCCTCTGTCTGGTGAATTTTCATCACGGTTTCTACAGTTGATTTGATATAATCTGGAACAGGACTGAAAAGATATATGGGCGAAAATCATCACTAAAATATACACACTAGTTATAGATCCATAACCCTGGTAATCTGGCAGCAGAATCTCAGGAAAGTTAGTTTGGGCCTACCCAGCAATAATCAATATATGAATAAAATAAAATAAGTATTCACTTTTTTTCTTTGTTTAAATGCAGCATTTAAAAATAATTCATAATTACATGTCAACTATGAATTTTTTTTTTTTGCTTTATTTGCAAAGAAATAAAAATAGTAAACCCATGCAAACTGATGTGCTATCTTTAGCATGCAAAGATGTCTGGCCAGTGAAAAGAGAGAGCTGTTCCCAGTGCTAAATCCCACACTCTCTCCATTTTCCCTCCTGACACTGACTGAGAAGTCAAGCCCACAATTCTGTGGATTTATCAGCAACTGCCTTTACTTTGTCTGTCCAGTGTAGGAATTAGGATGATTCCCTTCCTATCCAAGGGGGCTGCTCCCAAAAATGTCAACCAGGCATTCTTGCTGGGATGTAGAGAGCTGAGAACCAAATGATTCAAACTGCCAATACACCCCCACTGATCACAGTCTCCTAAACCAGTTCTAAAAACCATTAAGCTGTCCTTCCCCCGCCTTGCTCTTTCCTACTGAGCTACTGACCAGATTCATAGAAACTTGTACATCAGTGTCCAGAGTTTAAACTAAATTTGGCAGTGATACTGAGCAGGGTTCCAGAACATCCTTTCAATGACAGGTGACACAAAATAATGACAGGAGACAGAGCCTAGCCCTCCTTACCAGCCTGGCATCTCGCCCCTGGAAGACATGCAGTTGCTTCCCATTCCACAATACAGGCCTAGCTTTCTAACCACCGTCCTTAAACATGCAAGTATCATCAAACCTTTGCAGATAAAAGATATCCACAGGAAATGTTCGCCCTTCCACTGTAAGGATCACACACGTATCCCTGGTTGGGTCACTGGTTTCATTTTGATTAAAGAAATCCCGAAATTTCTAAAACAAAAAAAATCAATTCTTCATTCCTCTAAAAAAATTTTTTAAAAATACTTCATAGTAAGTCATAGAAAGGAAACAAAACAAAAAATAATACAGAGCACAGAGTTGGTAGTAGGAATTGGATACATACAATATAGACTATGGGTTGCAAAACAGTTATTAAAAACCATATTTTTATTATTGCAATTTTGAGGGATCGCATTTCAATGACAGACTCTTTACTAAGGTTTGATTAAAAATAATAAAGGTAAGATTTCAAAACTATATTCACTGATATATCTGAATTAACATGTAGCTCTGGTATTATTTATCTTATCCTATCCCCTATATTTTATTTAACCGAAAATTAGGTCAAGAGGTGTGATTCAAGTAACATACAGGCTAAAGCAGGCTGCTGTGTAGTTCTAATCTGGAAAGCAGAGATCTGATTCACACAAGGTTATCAATTTATAAAAGAAACTTGTACTCCTAGGAACAGCAGGTATATTCCTGGTACCATAGTTACAGATATATATATACTATAACTTTCCTGGTAGATTTCAGGCTATTTCATGGCAGGGACAGTGTCTTCTCCACGTTTATACGCCCTACAGGAGTTAGCTGGACACTCTGCATGGAAGGTCATCAATTAGATGCTTCTCCCACACTGAGGAACTGCATCACATTCAAAATGAATGGGCTTGGGGGAGTGCTTCTAAAAGAGTCAACTGGATTTAACTACAAAATGTGGGATACTATACTTTACCCTCAAAGTTGTTTGAGAAGAGTAAGCACAGACATACAAGTGCCTCGTGCCAACAAAAGAACTGCACTGTGCTCTGAGGGGCCATGTGGCACCACTCTTCTCTTTCCTTTTAGGAACATCCCCTCTGAATAGCTTCGGCCTTTCTGTGTCCTGTGACATACACAGCACAGGCACGCTAGAAGGGATGCACAAACAAGTGAGGAGAGACACCCCCGATGCCCCAAAAGAGTGAATAATCAGGGGGCGGGTGGGTGGACGTGCAAAGAACCAATCATAACACAAACTGAGGCAGAACGACTAAGTGACCAGAAAAGAGCTGCAAGTTTCAACTGGAGAGAATGAGAGGTCAATGACCAGCTCTTAGGGAAGACAGCCTGGAGGTGGCAGTCATCCCTTCCCAGAACGAGAGCAAAGTGCAGACTAAGATGTAAAGGGGCCCCAGACAGAGGACAAGGTCCAAGGTCTAGGGAAGGCCAGCTTCGGCTCAGAGTTAGCACTATTGTCTACCAAATGAACATAATGCTATTTACCCTGCAAGACTGTTGTGTGCTTCAAATACGGCATGACTAGAATGAGTACACAGTAAGTGACTCTGTTATCACTCTAAAGGGGCCCCAAATGTCATGCTGCACAGGCACTTTATTAGATGGGCAAGATAAGGGCAGTGAGGATGGGCATACTGTCAGACCTGTGCTCTGCATGCCTGACTCGTGGTCACTTTGGAGAAGGGCAGGTGTGATAAGAGACTGGAGGCCAGCAGATTAATTAAGGAAGGTATTGTAATAGCTCAGAGGAGAGGGAATGAAAGCCTGAACTCGGGCAGGGTGGTGTGAAAGCAAAGAATTCCAGAGGTAATGACTGATAGGACCTGGCAATCCAGGAGTGTACGCACATGCCCGGGCAAGCTGGGGAGGCTGAAATTACTTCTTACTCAATCATGTCCCTGAGCAATGGAAGTCCTGAGCCTGAATGATTATGATAATAAGAAAGGGACTGAAGCAGAGTCACAGGTCTATGAGTTTCAGTGGTCTCACAGCTCAGGCTAGAGCACAGTCAAGTTTGCCTCAAGCACAAAGGAGGTGGGCAGCCTGGAGGAGGAAGAGCAGCCAGCAAAGCAGCCTGAGGGGAAGCCATCAGGGAGGCAGGAGAGAGGGACGACGGCGTACTTCAGTGGAGGAAGGTTTTAGGAAGGGCTTGAGAGGCAGGCTTTTTGGAACAAAATGGCAAACAGAACAGGGAGAAAGTTGATGCCTTAACCACATTGCCGGAGTGGACAGCTACCCCTAGCTGCTCAGGAGTAGGTGTGTTGGGGAGTAACTCTTTCAAGAAATAAAATTCAGTGTTAACTGAGAAGGCACAAGATCTTAATCCTTAAGATCTTTGTCTTTTATCTTTATTTGGAAATATAAAATACAAACAGAAAATTACAGGCTAGAAAGCAAATAAATATAGCATCAACAGTGTATACATTTTGAGACAGAATGAAGGAAAAGGAAGAGTGAAATGAGTTCTACGCACCTGGAAAAGGAGAGAGTTTGAGTCAGGTCTGAAAGAGGAGGGGTCACACTGGCATGGACACACGGTAAGGAACATAAAATGATATAAAGGAAGAGGAGAGCCTATGAAGTGGAATGAAAATGATGCGGACATCACTGGGTTGTCTTCCCAGTTTGCCACAGCTTCTTTCCCTGACGCACATGAGTGGGCTTATAGCAGCCACGTCCACACAGCATGTCCACCCTGGGCCAAGAGGCCTTGGCCCATGCAGACTGGTCCCAAGTGGGTATCTGACCCCAGCTGCCCCCACATTCCTCCTGCAGGAATCTGGAAAGGGAAACTAGTCTTTTCCCAAGTAGCTGGATCTGTGACAAAAAACTGTGGGAGTTGTCAGCAATTCTATCTTTATGCCATGTAGACAGAAGCAAATAAAAGAAAAACAACAGCATGTGATACAATGGTCAAGAAACACTTCGTAATTCTATCTGATCATGTTTTCCGTAACTGCTTGCTTAATTAGGCTTATATTAACAAAGCAGCTAAACCAATCAAGGCAACTATGTGACCAGCCCCATCACACTCTGCTTGCCTCTGCTTCCCAGGCGCAGTCATTAGTGTCTTCACTTGCCTGCTGAACCACCTGGGGCCCTAAGCAACAGCAGAGCAGGTGGCATCTATCCCTCCAGGCAGTGGGGCTTGGAATTAGTCTGTGACCCACAGATCCAGCAGCTGGGGACCAGGGATGAGTTCTGGCACCCCTGGACCTCTCTGTCAAATGCTCCCTGAACCACACCTTTCCCCGCTCCCACACCCACGCCTACTCTTCCTCCCTCGCCCTCGTCAGCTCACTCCATTCCTCTTCCTCACTCTCTTACTCTCACATGGGAACTCATAAACCATGCCCCACATACACTCACATTCACCCAGCCCACACCCTCACTCCCACAGAACTGACTCTCCCCAACAAGTCCTCCCCTCATACACACAGAGACTTCACCTACCCCCCAAACACTGGGTGAGGAAGGGAAGGAAAGGTGTATGGTCCTAGCCCATCAAAGGCCCAGCTGAACAATGCCAAGATTCAGGGATGCCTGCATCATGGCATTCCCATGTGTGACAAATTTCTTACATTTATTCCATTTTCCCACTTAAAAAAATTACTTCCAGAAAGTCTACCTCTATCAACTACTATAGGCAGAACTGAAAAAAAAGCTATTTTTTAAAAATCTCCCTTCCTCTCTCTCTCTATAAAATCAATAAAAACATAATTTTTTTTAAAAATCTCTATGTCACACCAAAAGACTACAAAAGCAATTATAAGCAATAAATGTTACTAAACAGTCATTCTAAGAGAAGACTTGGACATTACCATTTTCAAACATAATAAAAACTGTTGGGAATGCTTTTTAAAAGAGGGAGGGTAACAAAGGTAAGACATAAAATAGAGATGTTTTGTGTAACTTAGCCATGGAGAAGGGAACAGGAGAAGTCAGGTAGAGTCTTCGAAATAGCATTCCAGCAGGTATCATGGCTGAAGGGCATGAGAATTCATTAAAGAGGGCAACCAAGGAGCTCGGACCCAGAATACCATGGGCAGATGCAAGACCTCAGACTCCTATGGCCTATGAGAAGTCCTGCAAGCAGTCTGGGTCCTGAAGCCACAGCAAGACCAGGAGCCAGGAGCCAGACCCTTTTCATATCTCAACTGGATTATAAAACTGGCCTCTTGACTGCTATTTCCATATCTCTCATCTCTTCTACACAGCACCAAAGTGATCTTTCTAGAACCAAATATGATCAAGTCACATACCTCACCCTCTCCCAAGGCTCCCGACCAGGTGCTAGACGGAGTTCCTCCTTTGGTTGGCTTGTAAGGCCTTCCGTCATCTGACCCCTACCAACCTTTCCATTTTAATCTCCTATTCAATCGAAATTCATTCAACCCACAGTGCCTACTTTATGTCAGTCACTGTTGAAGACAAAGTCCCAGTCTTCAGGGAGCTTACTTTTCATAATGGGAGACCCACAGTAAACGATGGAAGACACACAATAAACAGGCACTTGGATATGCACATAACATTAGGTAGTGGTAAGTGCTAAGCAGAAAAAAATAAGCAGAGTGAGAAGATGGACAGCAACAGGGGCACTACTGTAGACAGAGTGGTCAAGAAAGGCCTCTCTGAGAAGGTAATACCTGATCAAGACTGGAATGAAATGAGGATAGAGCCCTGAGAACATCTGAGGGAAGAATGGTCTAGAAAGAGGGACCCTCCCAGAGCAGAAGCATGCTTGGGTTCTTCCAAGGAGCAGCAAGGGGACCAGTGGGGCTGGAGTATAAGGAACACCAGAAAAAGTGGAAGTCAGAGGCAGATCACCCGGTGCCGGGCCCTATGGCTAAGACTCCCACCTTACATTTGACTCTCAGCCACATGCACACATGGTTTCACACCCTGTGCTCTGTGACACTCAGGATGCCCTTCCCCATCCCTGCCCATCTGACAAACTTCTGTGCATCTTTCAAATCTAACTGGATGTCCCTCCTCTGGGAAAGCTTCTGGACACCCTCAAGCCAACTGGAGTTAGGAACTCCCTCCTTGGCTGTCTTAGCAAACTGTAAACACCTATTTATCTTATATATATGACAAGTGGTCAAAATTATTTGTTGAGGTGAACTTCTGTTTGAACTAAAATATTAGTTATTACGAGAGAATAATAACATAAATTTAGCCATAAAAAATTATAATATGAAAATTATATGTACAGGAAAAACTTCAATTGTACAAAAATTCTAAATGTAAATGCTATAGTCATAAATAAATGCAAAAAGATAGCCTTGTTCTTAAAAAATAAAAAGCTGCCTATGAGAGGAGAAACACAGTATGCAGAGAAACAAGACAAGTAGGTATTATGAACTCAATTAATTACAGGTTGATTTCCACCCACAGGCTGCAAAGGAGTATCCTCTGATCCTCTGGAATCTAGGTCATCAGATGGCCCCATAAGGGAGGTAGGCCATTCTGCCAAAGATAAGCTCTTGCTAGAGGTAACTTTCCACAGACATGGCCAACGATTCCAGTGTTTACAGGAGGACAGGGGAGAGAAGGGAAATGTTCTTACCTCTGCATCCAGAGTGGCTGAAGCCACAATCAATCGAAGATCCCCTCGCTTTTTCTGAATCTAAAAAAGAGGCATCATGAAACAATGATAACCATAAAATTTATGGATGAAATTTGATATCTGAAATTCATAATAATTTAGTGTGTGTATTTTTTGGGGTAAGGAGGAGCTTACAGATTAAACAAGACTGACCACAAACTGATAATTATTAAAATCACAGGTTAAAATAGAGTTTATCATCATTCTATTCTTTCCAACTATATAAATGTATAAAATTTTCCAAAATAAAGAGCTAAAAAAATTGTATAGAAAGTATAAAGGAGCTTCAAGACTTGAATGTGAATCTCCTGAAAGTAAAACCATTTTTCCTGACATCTGGGTCCCTGGATAGTCAGAATCTGTGTATACAGGGTCAGGCAAAAGTAAGTTTATAGTTGTGAGTACAAAAAACATAGAAGTTTATTTTTGTATTATTTATTAATTACTGTATTATTTTCCATATGAACAACTATAAACCTACTTTTGCCCTGTATATAAAGTATAAAAAAGTACTTCAAAAGCAAAAAAATAATAAACAGTAACACCAAGACATAAATGTGGGTAAAAGATATTAACAGTTATCAGAAAAAATGGATGATCAACAGGCATAGGAGAAATGCTAAAATAAACTACAGCAAACATATATAATAACAATGAGGTTCTTTTTTCACCTACCACATTGGCAAGAATATATTTTTTAAGGCTAATATTTAGTGTTGGCAAACATTCAGTGAAACAAACCTCATCATATTGTTCCTAAGAAGGTAATATAGGATAAGCTCTCATAAATATCAAAAAGTCTAAATCTTTGGCCAAGGAATAAAATAATAATGAAAATAACAATAGCAGCTAATACTGAGTTCTGTACTATCCCAGGGTCCCTGAGTATGGCTGTGCAGTGTGCGCACCGCACAAAGATGCCTGCCTAAGGAGGCCAGGGCATCTGAAATCCACCCCACCCTGCCCCTCCCCTCACCTAGGGGACATCCTCCCAGTGGGGGCATCTTTTTCTAACTTGCTCAAAGGTAACTCACAGTCTATTTGTGACCCTGGGCCAGGTGCCATCCTAAGAATTTTACACTGTCTAGTTAAGCCTCACAACAAATTATGATATAGAGCAGCTCTGCGGATGAGAACTCTCCTCAGTATGGAGAGGTTCTATCCCAAGCAGTAACCACTCAGCACATGTGGCTACGGAGCCCTTGAAATATAGCCAGTGTGACTGAGGCACTGAATTTTTTATTTTATTCTATTTTAGCCAATTTAAATCTAAAGTGGTTAGCGGCTACCACATAACACATAGGAAAGTGTACCAGTGCACATACAGACACTTCTATTATGCCCATTTTAGGGATGAGTAAGCTCGGCAGTCAGAATGTGAACCCAGGCAGTCTGACCCAGGTCGAAGCTCTTAATCACTCTGTTCTACCACCTCTTTCTAGAATCCTGTGACAGGGAATCTATCCAAAGAAAACAATCAGAAAATATGAGAAAAAACAATCAGGAAGGGGAAGAGGATAGAGGTAAGGCTGAAACAAGACTGACCACGAGTTATAATTACTGAAGCCAGATGATGGGCACATGGGGGTCATTAAACCTTCTCTTTATTCTGGGGAATATTTGAAACTTTCTATAACAAAAAAGTTTAAAAAAATTAAAAGAAACAGAAATGCAACAGATTTAATTACAAGGGTGCTCACTGTGACATTTAAAATACTTCAAATTTGGAAGCATATAAATGCCTAACAGTAGGAGGAAAATCAAATACTTTATGGTAGAGATGTGGTTATATGACCATTAAAAATAACATCTTTAAAGAATACTTAATGACACAAAACTGGTCTTGATGTAACGTTAAGAGAAATACGCAAAATACAAATCAGCACATACAATCCAATCCCTATTATGCCAAAACAGGTGTACGCACACAAACGAACACAGAAAAAAGAAGAAAACATAACATTCCACCAGTGATTTTCTCTGAATGGGTAGGACTAGGATTACGGATGATGATTTAAAGTTTTTTCCTTCATATTTTGTTGCATTTTCCAAATTGCTACAACTATTTTCCTAATCAGGCACCAAAACAAAACAAAAACATAAAAACAGAAGTCTGACAGCGAAGTCATACCTTTTTCAGCAAGCCAATGGCAATGTCTGTGTACAAAGTCCTCTCATGGGCCTCATCCAGCATGATGGCGCTGAGAACCAGAAGGAAGAGCTCTGTGAGCATCTGGACAACCCCCACCCCCGCATGGCCCCATCCAGGTCATCGAAGGGACGTCTGGGTATTCAGCCCCCATGCAACCACCTTGTATCAAAATAAAGCCAGTAACTCCTCTCTGACAAGGAGGTAACTCTTAAGCTAATAAAAACGGTGACATCAACATTTCCTGGTGAAGAAAATGGTGTCTCTATTGCTTATCTTCAAAGAGTTTTACCACTCACACTGGATTCCAATGAGATCTAATACCTGATTGTAAGTTATAATATAACATATAACCCCACAGAGCACATAAGAACTGGAACAAGGCCAACCACTTAAAGACTGCTAAGGTGCAGAAAATAACACCAAGAGGCACGTGATCATGGCTGTGTTGCATGTGTACCAGGGAGTCAAATGTGACATCCTTTCCGAAAATACCAAAGCCTGGAGAGGACAATTGTAATGCCTTGAGTGATAAACAAAGACACGCAAGAACGGAGATCAAAGTGTAATTATTTTGGAGTCTGAGCATTACATGCAACAAAACTCTCCCAAGTTTTGTGCTGAGACTCTGCAATCCTGGGATATAACAGAGGCAAGATAAAAAGGAGAAGTCCACAGACTGTTCAAATAACATCAGGTATTTTAAGTTGCCCTTTTCTGACTATCTGTAAATTCTGAGAAAAACATCAAGGTTCTAAACAGCCAAGGTAAGGACAGCTAAACACGGACCTGAACCTCAGCTGCTAACACAACTGCTTTTCAATCTACCTGTGGACTGTACATTTGAAACTTTAGGATAGTTATCACAGGAAAAAAACATTTACCTATATTTTGTTAACAAAGGATCCACCATCATTTCCCTCACCAACATTCCATCAGTCAGAAACTAAAAAACAAAAACACAAAAATTTTTAAAGTATTTCTTTTATACTGTATATTAATGATTTTTTCTAAAAAGTTCAAGTTTGACTAAACAATCTCTTTACCAGCAAGTGTACAAGACAATTCCCATAAAAAACAATGAGGAAATGCCCAACATTTTAGTTATCAAGCGATGGAACTGCTCACAAACAAGACTTCAAACATGAGATCTCCAGCTGGGGTCCAGAATTCTTTTAGCTGAATACCACCTGCATTTATTAGCTGTACATCAGCAGAGCCTCACTTCCTCTGGGCCTGCACCACTGGTACTGCTGAGCAGGCAGTGAAGACAAACCTGTGTCTGTCCAAGGGAATGCCATGAGTATAACTCTTTATTTTTATTTTTTTTTAAATATATCTTTATTGATTCCAGAGAGAGGAAAGGAAAGGGAGAGAGAGAGAGATAGAAACATCAATGATGAGAGATTCATTGATCGAGCCCACAACCCGGGCATGTGCCCTGACCGGGAATCGAACCCTGATCGCCTGGATCCTAGGTCGACGCTCAACCGCTGAGCCATGCCGGGCCAGGCTAAGATAACTCTTTAAAATGTCCCCCCAAAAGGGGACATCTGTAATACTTTCAAAAATTCAGATAAATTTAATAAATAAATAAAATATCCCCAAAACTATGGACTTGCAGCTCTTGAGGTGATTAACCTCAACTTCACCGGATATTATTTTAGGGAGGCCGAAAAGGACTGTATTTAAGAGTGTGAGCTATGGTGTCAGGCTGCTGGGAGTTCAGATCTTAGCTCTACCTCTCACTAGCTATGTGAACCTTGGGCAAGTTACTTACCCTCTCTGAGCCTGATTCCTCATTTGTAAAATGGAAATAATAAAAAAGTATCTACCTCAGAGGGTTACTGTGAGAATTAAGTGAGATAGCACATGTAAAGTGTTTAGCACAGGACCCAGTACATAGACAGCATTCAAGAAAGTCAGCTATTGCCCGGCAGGGCGTGGCTCAGTGGCTGAGTGTCGGCCTGGGATCCAGGAGATCATGGTTCAATTCCCTGTCCGGGCACATGCCCGGGTTACGGGCTCAGTCCCCAGTTGGGGGCGTGCAGGAGGCAGCTGATCAATGACTCTCTCATCACTGATGTTTCTCTCTCTCCCTCCCTCTCCCTTCCTCTCTCTGAAATCAATAAAGATATATTTAAAAAAAAAAAAGAAAGTCGGCTATTATCATTTAGGATTAATGAATGCTTATAATATGTTTTAGAAATATGCAACAAGAATGAGATATTGTTACTTTCACCCAAAAACAGTTCAGCACTTTGACAAGGCTCAACATCTCCCTCACATGCTGTTTCTTCGTGTTTTTGCTTTTTGTTTATAAGAGCAGGATGCATTCCCATAATTTTTTTCTTGGAACTGGTACCAGCTGCCACATAGACACACTGGAGTGAAACTAAGACTCTGCCACTAATGACAGGCTACCAGTTAAGAAATGAGTGCCTTGAAATTACGACCAAATGGAAAAAAAAGCTTTTCATGAAAGATTTAAAAACAATAATTTGGTTATATAATCCCCTGAAATTTATCTAAAAATTAGCTAAATATATTTAATGGTACAGAAGAATATTCCCTTTACCTAGTAAAACAAATGTAAAGGTAACAAAATACAGAAATCTGGAAAACAAGGTCCATATTTTTTACAAATCACTAGTTTATTTAGCTCATCTGATTATTTCCAATTTTCCTTTGTTGCAAATTGAGACGTTAACTAAGATTCTAGTAACCAATTTTCATTTCATCAGAGCATTTTCATTCATGGTTTTAGAGTAATATTTGATTAGACTTTGATTACAGCAGAGTGATACCCAGAAGATACTCTGTTGAGTTGATTGTATGTTAATTACTATTGATACTAATTATTTTAATATTAGCATGTAGGTCAAAGAACACCCATGTAAAATCCATTTTCATGTAAAAATTAGAAAGTCTAACTAGTAAAACAAAATTCTACACGTTATCAATTTATACTACCTTGTCCTTGTTTTTAAGCCTTTTAATAAGCAAGTTTCTGTATTTAGACAACTACGTGGATGGGTGGAAAACAATAAAACATACATAAGAAAGCACAGCCTTGATTCCTGGTTCTATCACTGACAGGCACATAACATTAGGGAAATTATTCAACCTCCCAGGTCCTCACCTCTTCATCTGTGGAACCAAGGGCTTAACCTTCCTTTCAAGGTCCCTTCAAGGCTAAGATTCAAGGCTCTGTACTTTCCAGTGGACTAAATTCCCTGAGGGCCATGGTATCGGTGTCCTGTCAGCAGTAATGCAGCATGTTTTTAATTCCCCCAAACAATCATCTACCTTATTTACAACAGGAAAGCAGCTTGAACGCCTCACCTTAATTCTCGTAGCCAGCGGGTCAGTGCAGTCATCAAAGCGGATGCAGTAGCCCACCTCATGGCCCAGCACCGCACCCCTCTCATCAGCTACTCTCCCTGCAACCTTTGGGAAGAAAGATCATGCTGAAAATAGAGACATAGAAATTACTGCACAGAGCACACACTATGGAACATCCAAAGGCAACTTATTTTTCACTAGTATGTGAACACTGGAAAATGAAAAAGAAAAAGGGCAGGTTATTAGAGAACAAGTGTGATAACCTTTGTGATTCATTAACTCTATATATATCACCTCATAGTTACCTTGAGGCAAATTATAAGAACATAAGCAATAAAAACATAATTGCATATTATAGATCAGGTTCAAAGAAATGACAGATGAAATTCAAAAGATCAAGGACAGTGAGAAAAACCTAAAAACACAGATATGCCAAAGGTATTTAAGTTGAGCTATAAATTCAGCTATAAATTTCCTGGTGGCCAATGCAAAAAGGGAAACAGAAGAAATGACAAGATTCACTCTGTTCCTAAAGCCTTCCTGATTCTTTCATACACCAACTGGGCACAAATTTTCATGTCTTCATGCCTTGAAATAAAGCACCTTCCACTGGACCGTGAAGGCAGGGGAAGAGGGATAATCAAATCCAATACTGGGCCAAACTCATTTTCTCTTTGGAGCAGAAGAAAAATGTTTCCAGAGCAAGATAATCTACAACAATGTGCAATAGTGTCCAGCTACCAAAACCATTAAAAGAGGAAATAAAGACAAGAATGTAGATTAAAAATTAGAAAAGGGAAGATGAGCCGATGAGAAGATTAGCCAAGGATCCAAGTTAACATAATAAAGTAAAACTAGGAAACAAAGTACATAATATATTATAAAGACCATAAATTATTGGTAGATTTTTCACCCACCAATATATGACAAATAAAAGGTGAGCGTGAGAAACCCCCAAAAAGAATCCAACAGCAAGATCTCCTACCTCCCCAAGGACAGTCAAAGGTTATTAACTTATTAATAGAAAACAGCTGAATTAATGAACAAATATAAAAGTGGAAGAGCAATAATGCTTATAATTTAGTTTAAAATAAAATAGTGTAACATTCATGATATAAATTACTTAACTGAAAAGAACCAAAGGGAAGCAATATTATAGAGGTTCCCTGGGACCTGGGCACACCCACCCAATGTAGGCCACTTGCCCACGGAGTCCCTGAGTCCTGGGTTTGAAACATGGGCAGGCACAGGTGTCCTGAAGCAGAGTTTACTGCTACAGCCATTGCGCCACAGCAGCCTCAGACTCAGGAGCCCAGTGTCCCAGCACGCAGCTCCCCAAGCCAAACACATCAGGAGTTATCTGGCCATCAGTGTTTAGAACCTCAGAGACGAAGATCAGAAGCGACTCTGCCCAGCAACTTGAAATGACAGATCTGGTAGGCGAAACAGTCAACCACCCGGCAGCTGGTGCATACCACACAGACTTTCAAAACATCTTATGAAACCAGAAATTCATCCCACATGGCCCTACCTCTGCAGGTTATATATCCCGATAACCAGTATTTCACCAAGGCAGTTTTGTTATTATTTCAATTTCAACCCTATGGATCATTAGACAATAAATCTCAGAAAATGGCACAAATGGAGAATCAGTGCATAGAAATACTAGGAGTTGATGGGGGAAATAAGCTTATAAGAATGAACAAAAATGAACCAACCCTCTTCAAAAAAATGTAATCATTTTATGGGCCTATAAGGGAGAAGCCAAAACTATTTAGTCCTATCATTTCACTATTTATATGTATTTGCTTTTAAAAGTATATATTTTATTTTCAAACTCTTTTTTGTTATTGATTTGAGAGAGAGAGGGAGAAAGGGAGAGAGAGAGAAAAAGAAAGAGAGAGAGAGAAAAAAAGAGAGAGAAAGAGAGAGAAACATTGATTTGTTGTCCCACTTATTTATGCATTCATTGGCTGATTCCTATATGTACCCTGACCGGAGACTGAACCCATAACCTTGGCATATCAGGACAATGCTCTAACCCACTGAGCTACCCCACCTGGGCCTCAGATTCTTTTTAAAAAGTTTATTTGTTACCACACCACTTAATATTTGAAAGATCATCATCTATTGGCTTTTTAATAGATTTTTACCTCTGTTAAGTTCTACTCCCAATAACTTTATCAATTGGACAGGATAAATATTATTCTTTCGACAAAAACAAACAAATATAGGGAAAGGGAGGTAAAAAGAAAAACCAATCACTGAACACGTACTACCTACAAGTACTGTACCCCAAGTTTTCACAAACTGTGTCTCATTAAAGATTCACAGCACACAGCCCATGAGGTGGGCAAGATACCCTCCTTTTTACAAAAAGAGAAAGTGAAATAAGATAGGCTTAGAGCTTGTTCAGAATCACAGCTCAAGGCAGGGCCTGGCCTTGAAGCCAGACCCAGACCATCTGAGTCCAATGAACATATTCAGTAGTAACTGCCTCTCACAGAGATCAAGCAACTGCTTATGCAATCTGCTCTAGGCTCTGAGATTGTTTTCAGATTTCAGTCTGCACACAAAGTACTTTAGAGATGTAGCATTTCAAACCTGACAGCTCTATTAATATTACATGGTTAATTTATACATTCGGTCCTTGACAGAGAAAGCATGCAGTTTCATGGAAATTATCCATGGCTACAAATTTGGAGCTAAAATGCAAACTGATTAAGAGCTGGGATTCCAAACCACAAATAGGAAAAATTTAAGTAACTGAATCATCTCTTGTGACATAAAAGGTTAAATAGTTTCCAAATTATTATCTCCATTTTTACTCACACATAAGACTTGGAAAGTGTTTATTAATAATTTCTAACTTTAAGACAATTAGAAAATGAACTTTGGGGAAAGATATTAACACAATAACTATAACTCAGTACACAGCAAAAATAACTCAAGGAAATAGAATTAATTTCTTGTCCAGGCAAAGATGGTCCTTTCCCAGAGTTGACTTATAACAATGAAAGAAATAAAACATATTATCAGCCAAAACCTCCATCTTCAATGAAAGAAGGAAGCAACCAGAAGCCCAAACAATTAGGAAGGAAAGCTGTCAAATACTGTGAGGTCTGAATCTAGAAGAGATGCCCCAGCCTCCTCACAACCAGAGCAGGCTGCTGGCTCCCTTAATGTAAGTGTTAGCACCCTAAAAGGCAGGGTTGGCAATCCTTGTATTAGGAAGACAGCAGCAGTGAGTTCATGCCCTGAAGACAGGAAATGTCTCAGTGGGGGACCCACTCTGACAACAAAGAATCACAAGGCAGAGGAGTTGAGGGAGAAGGCAGGCAATCAGAAGCAAGCAGCAAATCCAAAATCAGAGAGCCCAGACAATTTTATCTTGATCCATTACAGACCTTTTCAATCATTAAGGAGTGTACCTCCAAATCATCACCCTCATGCCCCAGCAAAGGTGGATAAGAGATTTGGCGAGAGGCTGTTCAGAACAGAGATCAGTAGCTCACAATTCTGCAGCCACTGGAAGTACTAACACAAGCCTGGCCAGTGTGGATCAGCTGGTTGAGCATCGTCCCAGGCACCAGGAGGCTACAGGTTCGATTCGTGGTCAGGGCACATGCCTGGGTTGCAGGCTCAATCCCCAGTAGGGAGCGTGCAGGAGGCAGCCGATCAATGACTCTCTCATCATTGATGTTTCTCTCTCTCTCTCTCCTCCTCCCTTCCTCTCTCTGAAATCAATTACCAAAAGAAAAAGTATTACCAAAAAAAGTAAATAAATAAGTAGATTTCAGCCAAAGAAATCCAGTTTCAAAGAAATCACAAACTTAAGCTAAAAACAGCCTAAGGAACAGATGCAAAGTCAGAAAAGAGTCAAAGAGAAACAAGGTCTCAAATATACAGACCAGAAGCAAGTCTGAAGACATGGAAGATGCTGGAAAGGCTTTCCCCAAATTTGAGAACAATCCCCAAAATTTATACAATGCTATAAAAATAGCCAGTTACAAAATTAAAAGAACACAGTGTCAACAATAAAAAGCAAATCTGAATCAACCATGCTGGAGTCGCACTAAAATATTGCTTTACTCTCCCTGTAGGAAAATAATAGAAAATCATCGTCATGTGAAAAGGTTATCAATGGAAAAGCAGCCAAAAACTGCATGAAAAAGAAAATTTACAGAAATGTGTCAGGGAGTTAATTAATATAAAACACTATATTATTCTTCTCAATTTTTAAATGTTTGTGGCATTATCTGCTTTTAAAAATTATAACGTATTATGATACTTTCTCCCATTTTAAATATTCACTTCTCTATCTATTAAGGAAAAAACACATTCAAAGAAATAATTATGAGACCTTGGTAGAAATATAAAGGAGCCAAACTATAACAAATTTGACTAAAAACAATCATGAAAGCTGTGGACAGACTTAAAGAAATCTCACAAAACAAAGTAGAAAAGAATACATGATTCCAGAGATGGGAATAAATACTAAAAACAGACAAAGGAGATCTAATATACACTTAATTGATACTCTTAGAAAAAGAGAATAAAATAAGTGGAACAGAAAAATATGCCAAGATATAATAGAAGAAAATCAGCTTGATATAGAGATTTGAACCTGAAGATATAAAGTTCTTCCATATTTAAGAAAAAATGAGACAGCAATCAGCATCAAGACATATCCTGGTGCAAATACAATCTTAAAAGCATTCAAGCAGAAAACAGTAAGCCAGAAAGTAGAGGGTAAAAACCTCGCAGGACCTTAGACTTCTGCATAGTGATCCTCAATGCCAAAGGCAAGACAGCAATGTTGGCAACTCTCCCAGGGAAAAAGAGAGGAATCAAGAATTTTATATGAGCAAAGAACATAATCAAACATTCTCAGGCATATAAAATTTAGCCAATCACGAAATAAAGCAAAATGTGCAACTCAAGGTTGGCAAAACAATGGAAATACTTAGTGATGAACATTAAAACTAAGCTAGAATTAAACACCTGTGGTAGTTATGATTACATAAAAGAATATATTTTTATAAATCTTAAAATAAAAATTATAGCACTGCATCTATAACAAATAGAGGGGGAAAAGATGGAAAGAATAAGTGTGCTTTACTCTTTTAACAGGAAACTACCAATCACATAGTTTCAAAAATAAGTAACATCCTAAAGCTTTTTCTAATCTTTTTTGTTTTCAAGATTTAACAAATTCTCTTGTGGTGAACAAATATTGATCCAAAGTTCAGTATAACTACTCCTATTTCACCTCAGTTTCCTCTTCTATTAAATTCAACAAAAGCAACTATATGGCTATGATCCCATTTTTTTTTTATTTTTTATTTTTTTTAATATATCTTTATTGATTTCAGAGAGAGGAAAGGAGAGGGAGAGAGAGAGACAGAAACATCAATGATGAGAGAGTCATTGATCAAGCCTGCAACCCGGGCATGTGCCCTGACCGGGAATCGAACCCCAATCGCCTGGATCCTAGGTCGACGCTCAATCACTGAGCCACGCCCGGCCAGGCTATGATCCCATTTTTATAAAATTCTTTCTATCCATCCAGCCAACCATTCATCTTTATGTGAACATAACAGAGAAGCTTGGAATAATGTTCACAAATGTTCACAATGTTTTTGCTGGACAGTGAGATTTTGGGGTTTTTTTTGTTTTTTTGTCTAACTTCCTCTGTACTTTACTACTACTTAAAAAATTCATAACGTGCCCTGGTCTGTGTAGCTTAGTTGGTTGGGCATCATCCCACGCACCAAAAGGTTGCTGGTTCAATTCCCAGTCAGGGCACATGCCCAGGTTGCAGGCTCAGTCCCCTGTAGGGGACATGCAGGAGGCAGCTGATCAATGCTTCGCTCTCACACTGACGTTTCTCTCTCCCTCTCCCTTCCTTGCTCTCTAAAAATCAATAAAAAATATTTTTTTTAAAAATTCATAATGTATAGGGGTCAATTCTATAAAAATAATCAGGTCATGGTTCTTTTTAACTGAAGAATTAAATTCTTAAGGAGTAAATCATTTTCATTTGGAGCTTTTAGGAAACAAGAAAAATAAGTCACTGAAATAGAAGACACAAATGGAGTATTTGCAATACAAAAGAAAAGGAAAAACAGAAACTCACTGTAACAGCAGCCACTCTTCGAGGCTGGGTCACTCCTACAACTCTTCCTTCAGCTGTCCAGCCAGCTTCTGCAAGGTACTACAAATAAAATCACATCTAAGTATACATCTGACACCACTTCTCCAGAAACAATCTCCCCCAGCGTCACTCTGTACTGTGTAAAAAGCACTGAGAAAAGAAATAACAGATGGTTCTTGTCCCAACAGATATTGTGGAAATTATTTTGCAAATGAGGGTTCTGAGACTTGGAAATGTTAGGTAATTTGTTTAAGTTCACTTCAGAACTAATAATCAGAACAACCAAGGCAGAATGCAACATTCTGACTCCCCAGTCTTACAAAATTTCCATGTACTACGGCTGCTTCAAGAAATAAAGTCTTATCCAGGAGTCACTCAGAACAGTGCTAAGTGGGGAGGGGGAAAAAAGAACAGAGCTAAATCTGCAAAACACAGGTTTTTAAAGTATACACAGAGACAGCTCAATGTAAATATCAATCATATAAATGTTTTAGATTAAATAAAAATGGATTCTACATACATGTATATATGCCATGAGATTATAATATACATAAAATTTGATTATATGCATTTATCTGATTTATTTATGTACTTACTTGCTATACATACTTATTATGTATTTATTTGATTATATGCATTTTTAAAATCCAGAACAGATAAAAGTATTAAATAGATTGTTTAAAGTGATTATTTTATGTAGCACTTATTATAATACTTATTACTAGCTTTTATTATTAATAATTATTATTCTCTAACCGATAATTGCTCGGTAATTTAACATTGCCCTTTCTCCTGTGTCCCTCTGGAATTCTGTAATAGTAAATTTTTATTTAAAACTATAGCAACATTCATTTTACCCCTCTTCTTCAACTATAATTATTTGAGGACAAAAACTATGTATTACACCTCTGTGATTCAGTCCCCACTGTTCCTTCAGATATGGCTATTCAATTATTATTTTGGAATTATAATAAATCAAAGACTGTTACTTCAGTACTAATCAAAGAAATTTTACGTTTAATAAAAAAATGTCAAGGGTTGAATTCTTCTTCCTCTCTGAGAGAAGATCGTAAAAATGCAAATGATAGTAGAGTTCTTATTACAAAACCCTTCCAATCAAATCAAAGTGCAAAGACAAATTTAAATGCATACTCACTTGTGGAATCTGAGTGCTTTTCCCACATCCTGTTTCTCCAACAATCACCACTGTCTGATAGTTTTCTATCAAGTATAATATATGATTCCTAAGCTGAAAAAAATAGAACCATACATTATAAAGAGCCACATGTTTTCTTGAAAGACCTAAACAAAGACATTTAAACATTATGAAATGAGCTGTTTGCCAAAGGAAAGTAAATTTTTAAAAGAACTATCAAAATGTATTTCCAACTCTATTAGGTCCTGCTAGTGTCAGTATAAGCTGATACAATTCCAACTGAGTATAAAAAGTTATTATCAAATACACAATGCACACACATTAGTCCCATATTACAGAGAAAACAGAAACTCAGATGGTGAAGGAAGGTCACACAGCACACAAATGATGAAGCCTGGGTCTGAACTCTGCAGTCTAGACACTTTCTCACCACATAAATTATGTCCCTCAGTAGTGAGGAAGCAACACTGAATCTCGTAAGCTCATACATTCACACAGAACGGATGGAGTTAATCGCCTGAGACAGAAACCCAGAGGCTGTCAGTATGTGAGTGACTAAAATGTTTGGAGCCACAACCAACTGAGGAAATAGTCTATTTCATACAGGAAATAGACTAAAGACAATAGAAAATGGGTAAAGAACATGAACTAACAGTTCAAAGAAAAGGGAGTTCAAATGATTCTTAAAGTTATGAAAAAGGTGTACCCATTTCTAATCACAAAGGGAAATAAATGTTTGGGACCATGCAAAACTCTAAAGAAAGCCCCTTGGCTAAATTAAGAAGGCTGCCATTTTATATCCATTTCTAAAAAGAACATAATAAAAGAATTATGAGCAGTCGAGACAACAGAACTCCCTAAGTATAGAACATGGCAGCTTTCACCCAGCACTGTCCAGGAGAAGGAGAGAGAGCCAGGGGTGATGGTGGCCACACCTACTCAGGCCATTGCAGAGGCATCATGTGAGGCAGGGACAGTCCATGACTCTTCATAAGGAGCTATATGAAAAAAATATCTTTCAACTATATCTAAATAGCCTTTGGCTCTGAGCTCACTTCCTGATTACAATTTGGCTTCCCAGGTAGACTTGGCAACATGGAGAAAGTATGTCCATGGCCTGGGTCCATCTGTCCTGAAGAACTATGGCTCACTGTAAACAAACATTCTGAATTCTAGTTTACACTTTGGTCTCTTGTGAGATAACAAGAGTTGCATCCATTTCATGAAACTAATGAAATCAACTGTCTGGAATGTACACATGGTAAATAAACACACCAAAATCCTGTCACTATCTCAAAGGGAGTTAACCTCTTCAACAGAAACCACCTCATAGTCCCAGTTAATCTTGTGTAAAGAAATATACCTTTAAAAAGAAAGCCAAAATTGGTCATATGTTGGTAATCTGTTGAAGCTGGATGGATAGAAGTTCACTGTGCTATTTCCTCTATTTTTCTGTATGTGTGAACTTGTGCACAATTGAAAGCAAAGGGGAGAAGGGGAGAAAAAAGAACATCATTCCATTTCTCCCAGTTTTCAATATGAAAGATCTGAGAAAAAATCTTAAGGACTTTGAAGATTTATAAGATTAACTAACACACATATTTTGAAAAAATAATCCCTTTAAATGAGGGTATCTCTGAGCTCTTTGTGTTCTAAAGAATCATTAAGACTAAGAGGACACTATGCGCTTCAGTGCCAAGTATAAAGATCTTGCAGACGGCTTCAGGTGGACAGACTGAACATACTTATCCAATGTACCTTGAACACTGGCAGCTTCTGCCTCTGCTGCTCTATGGAAAGCGCTGCATAAGGATTGTAAACAACGGTTGTTGCAGAGTTTTCAGCTAAACTTTGTCTCTCTTCAGAGATACTGACACCTGGTCCCTCTGTACCTGTAACAGAAAATTTTTTTCAGATTCTATGATACAGTAAACAGAAAAATGTGCAAAAGGTACAAATTCAAAGATGAAGCGATACAACAGAAGCAATGCATTTGATCTCAAACTACTAAGTGATATTAAACTTTAATTTCAGGAAAGCATCCAGAAAAGTACCTATAAAAATACAAAAACATTCTCTGTAAGCCTCATTTGCAGTTTCAAGAACAAAGGAGATACACTCCCAGTGGGCTCCAAATTGGCCGCACACAACTGTACATTACAGAAGACAATGTTTTTAATTCTGGCCTCTATGTTGGTATTATTACCCAACACTTAATAAAAGTGACAGCAACCCAATGGGAATTAGCTGAGGCAAAGGATGAGTCCTTTCACTGCAGGAAGCAAAGTTCAGGGACAACAAGAACCAGGGACTCAACTCTGCCTGGGCTTTCTCCTCCTCTCATCTCTGCCCCTCTCAACAAGTTCCTCTTGGTCTCTTAGGGTGGCTTCTCTACAGGAGCTGAAATCACTGCTGCCGACAGTGCCAGAGCTCAGGCTCACAGCTCCTTCACCACTCACTCACTCACTCACCCAGCAGAGCTGGAAGTGCAGGGGTACAGCATGAACACTGCGGAGGCAGGCCCTACCCTCGTGCCGCTTACTTGCTACTTCTGTTCTTCCTCCTGACAGGACATAACTTAGTGCATGAACTCGTAGGGGAGGCTCTTTTTCTGCGGGCTTAGGTCCAGTGCCCAGCCCGATCCAATCAACCAAGGTCAGTGGAGTGGGACACAATAAATGGCAGACTCCATTTGATCACAGAATTGGAGCAGTTGGTGGGAAGTGCTGTTTTAAAAAGCTACTGTGCTTAGCAGATTAAACCACCTATTCCACAACAGCTTCTTGGTAAGAGCAATGACAACCTGGTGCTCAGGATGGTGAGGAACAGGGAAGCCATATCCTATCATGAGAAACTGTTCCTGGACTTTTAGCCTGAAAAGGAAAATGCCTTTGGAGGAGCACTTTCATGATGGCTTCCATAACTTTTTTCTTCTTCCATAACTTTTCATGCCAATTTGTTTGTGTAGCTGTAGGACAGAAGAGTAATAAGGAAATGACACAGGGATCAGAATTCAACTCAACATAAGGAAGATACTGGGAGATATTTCTAAAAGTTAGAGCTGTTCAGCCCTGGGGCATAGTGCCTCTGTGAATCAATAACACATGCAGCACAGTCTACGTCTGGGGATGCTACAGGGGTAATTACCCAAAATAATTATCTCAGAGGTCTTCTGAACTCAGAATCTGTGATGGTATATGAAAATACAGGGCCTTTATGACATGAATATTTAGCTCAGTGATTTAGATTTACATTTTGGGGGGTCCCAGATCCCTTCAATAATCTAATAAAAGGCTATGAACTCCTTCTCCTGAAAAATACACCAGAATATAATTTATCAGAACACGAAATGCTGGAGATCCGTAGACCCCCTTAGAGCTAAATTTAGAATCAGTGCCAGGGATCTCTGATTCCTTTTCCGCTCATCTCTAGGAAGATAGTTGTGTTCCAGGGGTCCAAGGCTGCCAAAAGTCAGGCACTGCTTATTGGGGAAGATCAAGAAAACAAGACTGCCAGCTTGACCCAGAAGTTGGACCCAGGCACTCAGGGACTCCTCACCCACTTCCGTTTTGGAATGTGCGCTCCATTAGCTTTCCCGGGCCTAGAGGCCGCCCAAGGACTCAGCCTTAAGATAGAAATGTGGGATGAGACTATATGGACTGTGCGCATGAATAAACCTAGTTAAGGCCCCCTGTGTATGTGACTGACCCCAGTTAAGATGTCTATATAATAAAGTTTTAAGATTTGGTGGGTGAGTGCCTCATGTGTAAATTCCCTTGCTTATTAACCTGCCACCTACCAATATGGAACAAGGCAAGCCTTTCTCTTTGGTCTCTCCCTGCCCTATGCTCTGGGGGCTGGTTTCAGATTTCACCCAAAAAGCTCCCCAAGAGGCTGCAACCCAACACTGCTGTATTGTTTTTGCCAAACTGTTGACCTTTCTTTCAACAGGATAAAAGACAGAATAGGACGTGGAACACAGCCTGCACTCAAAGAAGGGTTTCCTTTTTTCCCTTGTTATACACAATATTATCATTGCTGTATCTTAATAATTTCTTGAAACCTTTACCCAAGAAAACTATTGCGAAGAATACCTCATCCTCATCAACTCTGTTTATGCCCTGCATTCCCTCCTTTTCGAAACACGTTTTAAACCTTTACAGCATGTCTAGAACATTTTAGCACTGCTCCCGCAAGGTCTCTTCTTCCCTCACCAGGGTTTAATCACCCAGGTGTCTCCTTCACTACCCCACCCCTCCTGATCCACCTCACTATAATATTGTTATGAGATCTTTTACAAGAACAGCTGCTGCCCATCAATATCAAGCACGTCTGCTCCTTACAAAAGACTTCATTCAGCCAAACCAGGACTTCTTCCCCTTATGTACATCCCACGGCCCATTCTGGCTGACTATGCTTGTTTTTCCCTTGGGAACATTCTCTATGCTTATGGGAGTACCAAGTTTGTAATTCTTGCAAACCACAAATGCCTTCATTTCTCCACCTATAAAAAAAGGCTGAAAACAGCCTCATCCCCACCCCCCAACTCAACATTTCCTCTCACACAGTCTTTCAGTTTGAGTGGTGACCCATTAGTGGGTTATAAAATTAATGTAGTGGATCATTATTTTTAAATAATGAACTAGAAATAGAATAGAAAGTATCAGAGTGTGTCCCAGAAAGCAATACTGTTTATGTACAACTGTGTGTGTGTGTGTGTGTGTGTGTGTGTGTGTGTGTGTGTGTGTGTGTGTCCCAGAAAGCAATACTGTTTATGTACGTGTGGGGGGGGGGGCCCATGCTGGATGATAGCACAATATATTCTTCACTGTAGGTCAGGTCAAAAAAATCTCCAAAATTGTTGCTAATTACGTTTTTGTCAGGCATCTGGTCAGCAATCATTAAGTATCTACGGAATGAATGAAGAAAAATGGCCAGGCCCTTCTGATCCACTTGTGCTACTCAAGCTTTTCTACAGAAATCTTAAACAGCTCATACAAAGACATTAAGGCAGAGATCACAAACCAGTTCCTCAAGGTCCCCAAACATGACTTGGTTAAAATGTTTGAAATAGTTCATTTAAAACATGTAAAAGTTTCCCACTGAAATCTGGATATTAGGCTTAAAAAACAATCTGGTAACTCTGAGCCCGTATTACACCCATTAGGTAGAACCAAATACAGCTTCCTGCTTTAGGTAGCCTATGCATGCTCAGGTGTGTATCTAGCCGTGTATGCACATTCTAGTTTGCCATAGTTCCCACCACTCCCTATTATTCCACCCGACAGCTTCACTTATTTAGACTGTCTGAAAGCTGCTTGTAGCTACCTGAGCTTACGACTCCCAGCCTACAGGATATATTCATGATTCCAACATCTTAGCCTTATATCTAGCCTTAACCACTTTCTTGACCCTCACGTGTATTTCCCACATCCTACTTTCATACCTTGAACTTCAGTTTCTTAATCTGGAAAATGAGAGTGATACCAGATGATGCAAGTAAACGTGACTAGCACAAAGTAGGGCCCCATAAGTACACTATGTTCTAAATCCATTCCCACCTCAGTTAATGACAACAGTTTACCAAGAATAGTGGTTCCCACACTTTGGTACATGCTGGAATCAGCTGTGAAATCTTTAAAAAATACTGATACTTGGTTCCTAGCCCTCCTGACTTCTGATTTATTGCCAAGGGGTATGACAGAACAGCAAGATATTTAAGAGCTTCCCAAGTGATTCAACTACACAGCAAAATTTGAGAACCACTTACCTAGTCACCTAATCCAGAAACGAGTCATGACTGACTTTACCTTCTCCTATATCTGCCTCTAAAATGTCTCTCCAATAAGGTCTCTTATTGTCACTCCTCCTCTCTGCTCCCAGGCCAAAATTAAGGCTTTTAATATCCCTCCTCAATTTTAGTAGTACCTTCTCTTAAGGGTGCCCCTGACTCTGATTTCCTCCCCCAACCATTCTGCACAGTGTTGACACAGTAATGTTGCTAAAATAAACCTGATCATGTCCTCCCTTGCTTAAAAGCACTGAAGTCCAAATTCTTTAACTTGCCATGAGAGCTCTCACAATGAGGCCCCTATCTTTCCAGCTTCATCTTCTGCTATACCCCAAAATACAGGGTGGGGCAAAAGTAGCTTTACAGTTCATATGGAAAATAATACAATAGATAATAACACAAGAATAAACTCAGTGTTTTGCACACTTAAAACTGTAAAGCTTCTTTTGCCCCACCCTGTATACCCTACCACTTAACACTATCACACTACTCAATTATTTTGTTTTGGACATTCTTGGGGCATGCATCCCACTTTGCCTTTGTTCATGTTGCACTCTTTGCTTAGAGCTCCATTCCCCTACCTCTCCATGGAACAAAACCTTATTTATGCTTCAGTGTCCACCTCAGAAATATCACTGTCTTTATGAAGTATTTCTCATCCACGCACTCAGTCTTCCCCTCTCCTCTATACTTCCATATAATTATAATGGTTAATATGTGCCTAGTGCTAACAGTTTTACATGTACTGTCATTTAATCTTCAAAACAATCCTTGGGTAGGTGTTATGCCCAATTTACAGATGAGGTAACTGAGACTTGCAGCACTTCAGTGACTTTGCCAAGTCACCAAGTTAGTAAATGGTAGGATGGGCTATACTGCCTAACTCAAGAGCCCAGTTTCCTAACCACTACCTTTTTCCGCCTCGTTTTAAAATCTCTTCTAAAGGGTATCCAACTTCATAGTATAATTAAGAGAGAATAAACCTTGAGAGCAAAGCAGAGCCCTGGTCTTCTAGATGTCTCCTGACCACAAGATCTGGTGTCCTCAATGAATAAACTAAATAATGGAATAAAACTCTGAGAGTAAGCTCATGTTTTATAACTAAAATAATATCCTGGTCTGATTTTCAACAGTTCATTCAGGACTTTACTGTACTTAACACTTTGACCTATTATTAACGGCTTGAATAAATAAAGAGCATCTCATTGCCTAATGGGAGATTGGTTTTGGCTGCAAATAAAACTCAGGATGGATAACTGGCTGATGACTTGAAATGCTGAATCATAAAAATGTTAAGTGACAAACTACAGACTTTAAAAAAGAATTAACATATCCCTTGCATGGGTTTATCTCCCACATCACTTATATGCATGGTCAGAATTTCAGGGACCCACTCTAAAATACCCTTTAAAGGCTTTCCTTGTATTACCTTCTCTGTCTCATTTCATTTTTGCTGCAATATAGTTTGCACATCCAGACCTGCAGAGGTGCAAGCGGTGGGAAAATGAAACTTCTGTTTTTCCACGAGAAACTGATGGAATGGGAGGAAGTAATGCATCTAGCAGGGTCTCATGTGTATGCATTCAGTAAAATTCTGATGGGGAAAATTAAAACAAAGCAAGCAAAGCATGTGGGGGCTGAGATTCGTGTTAGCCTGCAAGAGGGGAAGTGCGTGGCCGCCAATGTGCAGGAGTTCACTCTAGTAGACACTCAGAGTGGACAAGAATGACCCTAAAACAAAATGAGACACTTCCTCTTTTTATGAGCACTTACTCTATGCCAGACAACGCACCGCTCATTATTTGCCCGCAGGATAAACGTTATAACTCTGCCCGTTGCACAGACGGAAAGGCTACGGCTCGGGAGGGTTAAGTGACTTGCCCAAAGGCACTCGGCTCCTACGGGCAGAGCGGAAAATCCGAACCCGCGCAGTCGGACCACGGCTTGAGCGCCTAAACCCGAGCGGCACCGCCTGCCCGGCTGCAGAGCAGCCCCGGGGCGATAACAGGACACGCGTGGGCGCTTCAGCGTTTCCCCATCTCGCGGGTTGCGCAAGGCAGGCATCGGGAGTGAGGCAAACGAGGCTGAGAGGCGCCAACAAGGTCACACAGAGAATCTCTGCCCGGGCTGGGAGCGGAGCCCCGAATCCCTCGAGACCCCTGCGGGCGCCAG